CTTGTTCCAGTTGCAACAACTTACCCAATCGAATCCGGATTTTCTATCTATTCAGCCACTATAACTAAATACAGAAGTTGTCCAGATGCCGAACCGGACATCCGACTCCAGTTATCAAAAATTAAAACCAACAATTCCAAATTGTGCAGGCTAAACACCTCACTCTTCAAAATAATCAATTGGAATTCATGTTCAAATTATTACTTTTGAAAGTAACTCGAGGTTTACATAACTATTGATTCCGTTCTGTCCAATTTGATTTTTGAGTTCCGGATTTTGTATGTAAAGTTAAGTTATGTCAACGAAATGTTCGTTTTCTTAGTGATATCCCCTCCTTCACCTAATTAAAAATGGACTGGCTAATTTTGTAAAAATTTTATTTACTATATATACTATAAGTATCTAATTTTAAATATTTGAATGGAAGGGGTCCGCTGGCTAAAAAAATTGGGAAGCCCCTGGTATAGAGGAATACAAAGCTTTTCTGTACACAAACGTCCAAAGACTTGTCGGGCCGCGTTTCTTTGAAAATAAAGTACAGTACTTACAAGAGTCTTTGGATATGTCACAATTTTGTATATCCCACGCTAATTGCCCCAATTAAGTCGGTCGATCGTCTTTTTTTTTGGGGGGGGGGCATCCGACAGCTTGGTCATTTCAGCCCCGAGGGAATGCGAACTTAGTGACCTGTTCTTTCAAAATTTGTTGAAGTCCTGAGGAGCGGTCAAGAATGAGGTAGTTTAGAATAACACCTTTTTATTTATTTTTTGCCGTCGTTTCGACCTTTATTCAGGTCATCTTCAGCGCCTGGGTAAATTACAAAGCATACGTTGATTGGAAAAAAATATAATTTAAGATGTAAATATAAATTTTGTACCAAGTATTTCATACTTACATAGAGTTTATTTAGAGATAATCAGATGGGGTCTGGTGTGACGTAGATTTTAGAAAAACATTTTCTTAATAGTGCCAACGTTTCGATCTTTATTGAGATCATCTTCAGGGCCTGGGATTTATAAGCATTGTTTAAATTATACAAATGCGCATCAGATTTTAATACGAATTTATACAATGATATACACAATATAGAAATTTTAGGTTTAATCAAAGTATTTGTACACATTCAAAGTGTGTTTTCTGTGTAGATGTGTCATTGTTGGGTATCGTGTTGAAAGTGTTAGTGAGATATTAACATTTTTTGTTTATTTATTTTATGTAATTAAAAATAATAATTTGCTGATTCGTGAATTGGGTTCAGGGGTGAAATACTTGGGAAAATAAATAAAATCTAGATAGTACCAACTCATGCCAATGGTAAATTTACGTTAAAACTTCAATTCAACGTTCAACAATCGACCATCTTGTCAAGTCTTCTGAGTCTGTTGAAATAAGTTTCTGTTTTAAAATGATGAAAAGAAGAGCTACAAAAGCCGAAAAGGCTACAAAATTAATGTATGACTATAATGTTCAGCCTGACATAGTTGCTACATAATCTTTTGCTACATCTACTTACTGTATGTATGTGTAATTTGTATTTATTAACTTAAATATAATTATTTAGAGATCGTGAGATGCGGTCTTGTGTGATGTAGGTTTAGAAAAACGTTTGCTTTCTCGAGCCAACGTTTCGATCTTTATTGAGGTCATCTTAAGGGCCTGGGATTTATATAAACATGGTTTAAATTATACAAATACATATGAATAGGAATTTATACAATGACGTACATGGTATAAAATTTTAGGTTTAATCAAAGTATTTGTACACACTCAAAGTGTGTGTTTTCTGTGTAGATGTGCCATTGTTGTGTGTCGTGTTGAGAGTGTTAGTGATATATTAAAGTTTTTTTGTTTATATACGTTGGGTTTTGAAGAAGTGGGGAAGGAAGTAGGGATAGATATCCGTTTTTCTATGAGGGTCAGCTTTTTGGAGTTAAAAGGTGCCGACAAAGGGAAAAAAGGAGGTAATGGTTTATCGTTCGGGTATAGATAGCCATTTAGGATTAATATAAACGGGGATTATTAATTGTTGAAAACTTAGACTTCGTAGAATTCTTGTGGTTTCATATTGAATTTGTGTGAAAGTGAATTTGTATTCTGCTATTTTTGTGATTGTGACAGGGTGGAGGAAATCTGAGAAATTTTCTTTGATCATAGATCCCACCCAAAAATTTCAAAATTTATATTTACATCTTAAATTGTATTTACCCAGGCCCTGAAGATGCCCCGAATAAAGGTCGAAACGTCGGGAAAAAAATGAAAAAGGTGTTCTTCTGAACTACCTCATTCTTGACCGCTTCTCACGGCTTCAATCAATTTATAACATTTTATCGATCCTTCATGGCTTTTTCGGCGAATTCTCAAGAACATTGCGTCCGTAATATTGTGCGTAACGGTTTCTTACGCAAACGGTGCTGTAACTAAAAATAAGATGGTTTAAAGAAAAAATAAGCTTGGATTCAACACTAAGTGTCGGCAGATTGATATTATTTTAAATATAAAAGGCTTCAACTGACTCAGAAATCCCACAAGTCAGGACAATTTTATAAGCAGTCGGTAATATTCCCTTAAAACGGGATATCGACAGGTCGAAGCCATCAGTGGCTCAGTGCTCCTGACGCAAATTTCCGTTAATCGATGAAAGAAAAAAAAAATGACGTTAGACTATAATAGAAATGATTCATAATTAAACCACGGGTCTTGACATTATGTTAATAATTTAGTGATATATAAAAAAAAATTAGAAAGGTCATACAGAAATAACCACGTTAGTCCTAGGCTAAGTTTTAATATTTTGATGTTAGATCTTTTTTATTTTATTGTTGAGTACATTTATTACCTCATTTACATTAGTAATGAGTGGAATTTAGAAATGACATTTGTGTGGCATGAGGGAAATAACAATCGTTGTTCTCCCAACTATACGCGAGGACCATTCTTCGTTTAGTAGGTCGCGAGGCCATGTCCTCTTCAGTCTTCTAGTGGGATTATAAGGGTGGTTTATATTAGATAAGGATTGGGGTGAGAGGGAAGTTCATTGTGGAAGGTGGAAAATGTTTTGGGAGTTTGTTTTAGTTGAAAGGTGTGACAGCAATCTGTAGAGTAGTCTGAAATGTGCCTATCATTTCAGTTGTGGGTGTTGGTTCCAGGTTAGTCTTGAGTCTAGTTGGAACCGAAAGTAGCAGACGCTTTTGATGTGGAAGTATTATTGAGGAATATTGTATGGGGGGTTTGCATTGAAGGGTGAAGAAACATAGGTGCTTTTGCTTTCGTTAAGGTTTATACGCCAGTGTTTGTGCAGGTATGCAGGAAGTGTGCATGGAGCTCGTCTGAAGTAATTATGGGATCGGGTTCAGAGCTGTGTGTTGGCAAAGAATGCAAGGATGGTGGAGGATGAAGTCGGGAAATCTGCAGTGTAAAAGAGATAAAGATTGGACCAAGCACACTTCCCTGATGCACTCTCATTCCCAGAGGACAATAGGCCTATCCTTGTCCGACTCTGGATGACAGATCAAGGATCCAAAGTTCAATAATTGTACCAAGTTTAAAAAAAATTAATTAAGAAGATATTAAGAAATTATGTAATGTTAGACTTAGAAAAAATTAATTCAACTTTCAAGATGTGGATTTTCCACAGCCAATTTTGTACAAAATTTTGATTATTGATTAAGGTTAAACAATCAATACTTTTCAAATTACATAAAAAATTGATGAATGAAGGTATTAATTTTAATTTTTAAATTAAATTTTTAGGGAAACTCACAAATTCATTTTTAGGCATTTATGGCTTATTAACTCCTATCCTCTTTGTCCACTTTGTCTTTTATATTTTAATAGATTAATGTTCAAAAATTCAACAATTCTGCCAACAAGTTTCAAAAAATTCATTTGGCCAGTTATTGAGGTATTAAATAAATATGGGTCTGGGTGCTATTAAATATAATGCTGGTGTCCGAGTGGAAATTTTATCGTACATTAAGATCAACAAATTCAATAATTCTACCAAATTAATTAAAGTTTACAGTTAAGATAAAAAAGTCAATGGCACGAGCGGGATTCGAACCCACAATCTTCGGCTTGATACGCCGCTACTCTACCACTTGAGCTATCGTGACCTCGATCCACTCGGACACCAACCTTCCATTTCAACCACACCTTTTGAATTTTCCCTCCTTTTTGCCATTTTTCAAATATCGTAATTGTAAGATATTAATTGGTCAAGCGGACCACGAAACTAGTGAATTCTACCAAATATTGCACCATCAAATTCAATTGGTAAATTATTGAGCATATTAAATATAAAATGCATTTGAGGGATAGCAAATCGTATAAAGTCACTTCACATTTATGTAGGATCCAAGGTGGTTACTAGGTCATAAATTTCCGGTTCTTAGTAATATCTCTTAGCAAAAATTGTACAATTATTCTATTAAGCATTTTTCACATAAAATAAAAGCAATTTATTCATTTTTTTAATGATGCGCATTGTGCTGCCAATTTCTTTAAAAAAGAAAAGTTCCTGATTAATTGTGCTTGTGTGTGCGCATGTGTGTGTGTGTGTGTGTGTGTAATATGTGTACTAACACAAGGCAATCAATCCTAGTTACATTACACTATTCAACAATTAACAAAATGTTTATCTGGGCTTCAGAGAAACTTGTATCGTTGGGACTCTTTTTTTTTTTTTTTAATGAGGGTATTTCAACTACACGGTTATATGAACTTTTGGGGTGCCAGTGCCTAAACCGCAACGGCCACCAATGCCCCTCATTGGGACTTCAAAACATCTGAATTCTCGTTAAAAATAAAAACAATTCTGAGTATATACGACACAAAATTTAATTTCAAATTTCAGTCAGTTTTTTTCTCTCTATACAATAGATATTTCATATACATTGAAGGATAATGTTACATAATTTATTTTGAAGAATAATGCTTTCTTTACTTTATCTATTTATATTTTCCGTATACTAATAGTAAACCTCAATTAATAATTGTTTCAGTTCGACAATGGGTTCAAATTCTCAGTTGAAACCCGAGACGAAATCTAAACTGAAATCAGTCGACACATCAAGCAAGCAGTCATTAAAACATGCGACAAGTTCTCCTTTGAATCGCAGCAAAAAATCATCGCACAGTAACGACGATTCTCCCCCTGTGAAAAAATTCAAGCAGGAATTGGCGCAGCGTCATTTTAACGCTTCAGACGATAGCGATTCTGAAAAAGAATTACAGATCGACAATTCTTTACATCTTAAAATGGACATGTCCAGCGCAGACTCGGACATCTCCAATGATTCAATACTTTTGGAAAATTTAAAAAAGAATACCTCAACTCCTAAACAAGCCGTTTCATTTTCCCGTGATAAATCTAATAAGAAACACAAGGAAAAAATATATTCCTCTTCAGAAAATGAAGGTATTAAAATTTTTGTTAAAATAAATTTTTTTATTCTTTTTTCATATTTATTTATTTTATTTTTTTTAGAAGACGTAAAAACAAATGAAGTTCCAATTGCAGAAGTGCCTAAACCTGAAGCAGATGATATTTATTTTGATGGTTGGACCAAAGCTGATGTTGCTGAATTAATAAGGAAAATAGATGCCGTCGTTTCAAACAAAGACACCTTAAAATATTCTTCGAGGGTTGAAAAACTACCATGGGATCAAGTAAGTTTTACTCAAGTAAATCTTAAGACAATTTCTTAGTTAAATTACTTATTATCCAATTGCTATATTTTCAGATAAAATTTGGCACTTACACTGCAGCGGATTGTAAAGAAAAATGGAAATCCATCGAGAAGAAAATACGAGGCTACAGAATATTAAAAGAAATCCTCGAAGACGCTAAAGTATGGATTGACCAACCATGGATAGATTTTTATAGAGGGGGCAAGAAAAAAGTAGGAATTATCACTGTTTTTATTTACTTTATTTATGTAAATGTTTATAAACGATAGCATTCTTTCAGAACAGACACCCAGAAATGCCAAAGAAGCCATTAACGTCGTATATGTTATTTTATATGGCTAAAAAGGCAAAAATAGCAGAAGAACACCCTGGCTTAGGAATGGTAAGTTTGCATTAAGTTTAGATAAATGCTAACAACTTTAAATAAATTATGAAGTAGTGTGAGTGTGCAAGTGAATAAAACTACACTCAAATGCCAAGCTTTTATCTGTATGTAATCATCATCAGAGTGTGTAGAATATTCAAACCTCTACTCACATAAATTTTAAATAAAACATCATAAATGGCGCATTTGCTCTTTAATTTTAAATGATTGAACCAAATCTACGATTAAAGATGGCAAAATGCATTTGTGATAACAAAACCAAATCAGAAAGGATGAAGACCAAGATGATTAGTTTTTTTTTTTTTTTTTTTTTTTTTTTTTTTTTTTTTTTTTAAATTAGCTCCATGTATTTTTATTTAAGTTAACACCACCAAACTTCATGACTTTTATTGCAATGCATATTTTCTCATTACAAAATCAAAAATTTCAACCCCATTTTCTGATTTTAGACACAGCTTTCAAAAGTTATAGCTGAAAAGTTCAATTCGTTGCCCGAAAAGAAGAAAGCCAAATATCACAAGAAAGCTCTTTCAATGAGGCAAGAATATCAGGAGAAATTACAAAAATTCTAGTAAGTTAACTTTTAAAAAAATGACTTGTTATCAGATTATTAATCAAACTTTTTTTATCTCCAGTTTAGACCATCCAGCCGAAGAGTTGAAACTGGCCAAAACAAAGAAAGCAAAAGCCCAAGCTGGCCCATTGAAACCAGTCCCTCCAATAAAAGTGATTATATTTAAGAACAACATTTATCAATTAATTTAAACACAAATGCTGATGTATTTTTATCATTTTAAAGCTCTATGTTGATAGTAAATTAAAAGCTCATGAGAATGAAAAAGATGCTAATATTCCCAAATTGAGGTTGGAATATAAAGAAAAATGGAAGACTCTGAGTAGAAAAAAGAAAATCCCATTTATAAGATGGGCATATGAAGCTGAAGCGAAGTATTTAGATGATCTAAAAGCATACGCAGCTGTAAACCCCAATGCAGAGCTGCGCCAGTTCAAATCAGTACTTTCGAAAGAAGAGAAAAGCATATACCAAAGGTAAGCTTTGTTTATTAAATTGTGTATATGACAATTTTTTATCTATTATGTTTTCAGAATGGAAGGCAAACCAGAAAAGCCTCCAAGCTCAGCATACAGCCTCTTTTCAAAGCTGAAACTTAAGGATGAAAATTTAAAAATGAAATACCCGACACCGAAAGAAAGGCTGCAAGAGATCGCCAGGTTATGGAAGAATGTTCCCAAAATTGAAAAAGACGCCTATGCCGCAAAGCTCAAATGTGTAAGTGTGTTATGTTATAATTAACGGACAGTCTTTTAATGTGTATTTATTTACCTACATAGCTCTTGGAAAATTACAAATTGGAATATGCATCGTACTTGGAATCCTTGCCAGAGGACCGACGAGAAGAAGAACTAGCGAGTAATCTACCTAAAAAGAAGGCTAAACCAGAAACGGAGGCAAAAAATAAAATCAATACTCTCTTTGCCAAGTCTAAACAAGTGAGTTTTCTTTGTGTATAATCATTTTGATTTAAAAATAAGAAATCCAAAACACAAAAACCACGGTTGTTTTAACTTTCAGAAGCCACAGAAAAACCTTAAAGAGGCTGTTTTAGCGAAAGAACCTGCTCAACCACCACAGTATGTAATTTTCTAGAAATTTTATTTAAATTGGATAAAAATAATTACAATTTCTTTTTCTATTTTCCTTTCAGAGATTCTTACCAAGTGTTCCACGCAGATATGATCAAGATGGGCTATCCTGAAAAGAATATTGTCAAAACTTGGAATTCGATGAAGGATTCTGAAAAAGACCAGTACAGAGTGAAGTTAGAACAGTTGAAGCAAAAATACATTTTAGACTACAAACAATTCTTATCTGTAAGGAGCAGAAAACTTACACTGCGTGTATTAAAACGAACCTTATAAATAATTATTGTAATTATTTCAGAACCTGACAACTGAAGAGTTGATGATCTATTCAGAGACTAAAAAAAATCGGCAGGACAATGATGCTTTAAGTGAAGAAGAAGAAGACAGTTCAGATGATGAAGAAGAGGTAACGTTTTTCAAGGAAGAAGACACTCTTAATTAATATTTAGACCGCATTATCATCCCTGGACAGCTTGGTTGCTGTATCGGCTTGACACGGTCTTTTGGCATTATTTTAGGCTAGGTTCACACTAGGGTAATAGATACACATTACTTGGGCCCGTTAAAACCTTAAGGAACAATAAAATGAGTTGCCATCTTTACGATTGCAAAATTTTTAGTAAAATACATAATTCAAGAGACATGCTGGTCTTGCCATCTTCGTGATACAATATTTTGAAGGGTAAAGATGAACGCTTTCGTTTTGTTCTGCACTGTCTTGTGCGTATTGCTCCATTGCAAAAAGTAATTTTGTGCTTAATTAATATGCTAGCAAATGGTGGAAGTGTTCTCAAATCAAACACCGAGCATCACTGGTACATAAGCAAGGAGATCGTATGAAGTTATGTAAAACACAAACACCTTTTATGATTTTTATGCACACTCCTCAGTATAAGTAATTAGGCTAGGTGGTTCCATACATGCGGTATTCGCCAAATGCTGCTGAACATTTACCAAGTATTGAGATGCTCGTTTTGGAATTTGCCAAATAGCGTGCCTGCATGTGAGATTCATACACCCAGCCAGTTTGTGCAGAAACAGCAATTACAAATTTGCCAAGTGCTATGCGAGGGCTACCAATTGAGATAGACTGTCATTGTGCAGCTGTGGTTACTGTTTTGTGTAGTGGCTACTAACTCAGTCACAAATCAGTCAACAGAATACTGTTGCCTGATCCGTTTCCATTCATCAAAAACTTTGTTCCAATTTTCGTGATTCAGAAGTGCAACGTTCGAAATTATTGATTCTACTTAGTATAGACCGAGGAACTGCAAGACTGTTATGTTGGGCCAATCCATTCCTAACCGACAGAAACAACACTACGATGTTCTTTCATTAAGACATCTGTACTAGTTAGCAATTGTTTATACTTGAAAAATAAATATCATCGTTGATTGATTCCCGAATGTGTGGATGCTTTGAGTTTGCCTACTTCGGGATGGTTAGGGATTATCCCACCTTCAAGAAGGAAGAATCATAAGATTTGCCTACTTCATAAATATTTGTGCCTTTTGAAGCAGACAAGGAAACTGACAATTAGCTGAGCAAAGCAAGCACCAAGGGGCGTCGGTGGCTGCAAGGTTTAGTCTTTGACACGGCGCTCATCACTGTAAGGTAAAGGTCCCGGGTTCGAATCCAGCAGCCCTGCATTCGAACCCGACATACTTACAAGTGGGCTTTTTTCAAAAACACCGGCACTCTGAGGGTTTATATGACCTCTGCTGTTACGAAACCTCAAAGCAAGCACCAAATATTGTTGATCGGCAAATAATCGAGTAGCCATCCTCACTAGTTGGGATTCAGCATGTCTGGATCCACCTTAACACACAAAATTTAGATGTGCATGATGAAAGCACACTCCACTTTTCATCCCTCTACTATGGCAAAATAAGGAATGACTTTTTAGTGTACCAACTGCTAAAATGGTAGGGAAATGTCAACACCATTAGCAATTCAGACTTCAATGGAGTTGCAGGATTCGAACCTAACTTTCTTTGGCAGTGGCTTATAGGCTAATGTAAAAAAACACTTACAAACATTCTTTTTTATATCCTCATGTAAGTAGGGCCTTAATAATCGGGCAAATCCAAAGGCACTAATACTTACGCTAAAATTCTACTAATTATTCGACCTCAACTCTACACCATCATAAAAGATAAATTCTACTAATTTTAGCATGTCAAGTTTACTTGATGACTTTTTTTTAAAACTATTTTATAAACAAAACAACACGTGTAAAAGTTAAACCAGAATAGTCAACTAAGATCTTCACAAGTTTCAAGTTATGTTTCAACTCGAAAGAAATGTCTCAAGACTTGAACAGGAGTTAAGACTTAACGCCAAAAGTTTAACTGGATCAAACATTATATAATTTTTACATTTTGTTCAATTTCATGCTGCTTGAATTATATACAGTTGGAGGTAGAAATAAAATTGGATATGGTTCCGTTGTCCGAAGTAGAACTGGTGGACACTTGTTGCAACTGAGACTGAACTGCCTTGTAAATTAAGATATATACCAAACCGTTTGTGCCTTTTGTGTTTTGCCGCTCCTAAGCCATATCTGGCTCTTTGCAGCTTCTTGGCTTGCGCTGCTAAATAGCTTTTTCAATTATAGACGAAAGCTATATGTCTTGTCTATTAGACGGTCACATCTCTATTCCACCTGGCGAGCACTTTGTCACAGTTCTTTACTGTGTCCGGGATGGGCCTCGCGGAGGTGGCTCGCTCGGGATATTCAGGTGGAGGAGGTATAGGCTTATCTGATTTCTAATTATAGTCTTTCATTTATGCCTGCCATCCTTTCTGTCTCGTAACGCTTTTCCACATCTGCTGTGTAGCGTTGAACCCCGCCCGAGTGGTGATCGCTCTTCTTAGGGTCTCCGTGATCGCTCTTCTTAGGGTCTCCATACTGGCTATTTGTTCATTTATCTCTTGAAGCCAGCGTACACAGAGAAAAATGTGTTTATCGCAACTCAGTACGACGTGTTCCGCTGTCTCTTCGTCACCACACTCACACATCTGGCTTTCATATCTGGATTTCAGTCGGAAGGCATGGAGCTTTGCAGTGAAGTCTCCATGTCCTGTTAGGAGCTGAGACATGTAATGGTCGATGGCGAGATGTTTCATCTTTAGTCTGTCTTCCATTTTTGGGAGGAGCTGGTAGGTGTGGCGTCCCTTGGATGTATCATCCCATCTTAACTGTCACTCTCTTACCAACCATTCCTCTGCCTCTTCCTGATATATACCAAACCATAAAATTTAATGTATCACTGGATGTATCAATGGATCACTGAGTTTGAAAACATAATATGTCCTGATTTGTAGTTAGCAAAATCCTCAAGTGTATTAGAGAACAGTAGGTGAGCGATTCCTAAATAATGATCATTTGGCATTTTTGTGAATACCTTGCTGGTTTTTATCTCCTTTGCGACTTTGAGCTTGAGGACCTGGAACAATTAAGTCCACCCAACTCCGAATCCGGGGGTTCACTTGTGCCTTTTGCGCAGATTTGCTCACGACCCAATTTCGACACTACTGGAGATCAGATGGACCCCCTGCTGATTGTGAACTTGGGGATGATCGTGATCTCCTGTTTAGCAAGGAATTTGATCTTGGCACTGTGCATCCTCCCTCAGTGTAAGCCGCTAAGCAATTAGTCGAAATAAAAATTTGATCAAAAGTCTCAAGAACACAGCTTAATGTTTGAGAATACTATTAGTACTCCATTACTAACTACTAATGTATTTAGTTTTAATATAAAATTACTATTTTATGCTATATTGTTCATAATATTAGAATGTATTTTAACTGGTTTTATTGAATTGACTAAGCAAATATCATTTCTAGGTTAAAAAAGACAAAGCGCCTTCCTCATCTTCAACTTCTGACTCGTCATCCTCTTCTGATTCTTCAGATTCTTCTTCTTCAGAGGAAGACAATTTGAGTGATGCATTTTAACGTTGTTTTCTGAAAATGACCTTTATATATATAACAACAAAGACTGTTATTTTGTATACATTGTTGTATTTTGTACACATGTTTGTCATTGATGTTTGCCCAGAATATTCATTTTATCGTTTTTTCTTAACGTGATCTGTCTTAATTGTCATTGACAGAAAAATAAATTTAAAAAGTGCATTATGGTAAACATTGAAAACCTGTTAAAATCCAAAAATTTGTAAATAGTTTTTTTTTTATTGAATAGTTAATGATATGATAACTTCTCAAGAAACAATTGTATAAAGTTATATTTTTTAAAACATAAATACAGTAAGTGTACCTTATTCAATGTTGTATCCATCCTGCTTCCCTTTTTTCAGAAACTTGGCACGAAAGTGAGCTACATACCTTGTTATGAGTATTCATACAGCTAGAATTTGTATTATCCTTTGATGATTTTTTTAATAACCTATAGGTTTTAGGTGAATAAGAAAGGTAAATAAATTTAAAAAAAGTAATTTATTAATTAGTTTTATTTGTAAGTGGAACAAAGTATGCATTGTTTTTAAAGATTGCATTTAAGTATCTTATTAATTTGATTGCATTGATGCTCTTTTAAATTTAAACTAAGCAACTTTCAGCCAAGACACTACGATAAAACTTAGAATAAAATTATTCAAACTAAAAATTAAATAGTCTTACATTTTTCAAGAAAAAAATTAAAGCTTAAAAATACTAGGAAATTACAAATAGAAATGAATATTGTGAGATTTTAAAGAATTCGGCCTGAGGCGACACCGAGTGCCAACCCAGCAACGAAGCACGCCAAGAAAACATGAATCTCCTGAAAAGCAAAATAAGCCTCATCTCCAAGGACATTCCTGTGGTACCAGGTCTTGGCTTTCCTTTCCTTCTTCTTAAGAGCACTTTCCACCTTGTCAAGTTTACGATCAACAAAGCGTTCCACCTAAATAAGAATACAGCTACTGAAATGTCTACAATAAATCTATAATTTATTAATAAGTAAACACGCTTTAGATCTACTACGTATAATTTCAGAATCAAATGTACATCTATAAAAAAACTTTTGTTTTAAAAAGAAAAAAAAATTGAGGTGGAATGCGTTTTATCCTAAATCTGTCACATATTTTCTTCCAATTGTTCGGTCTAAAGACATACAACTATAAATATCAATTTTTTATATTATTATTGCTTAGAGTTAATTTGCCCACTTAAGTGGATGCAATTCCGATAAGGAAACCACCAGCATATCCGGCTGCCATATAAGTATTGTCTTGGGCGAATCTTTTCACCTGAAAATAACAAGCGAGTGAAAGACTGGTGTTAGTAATAATTAGCATTCCATCCTATTAAATAAAGAGAAGAGTTATTAAAATGCAGATATACAAAGTCCAAAACCAAAGCTTTAATTTCCCTCACTAATTGAACTAGTAAACAACGAATTGACGATTATTTACAGAATATTTACACACATTTGACACAAACATTTAATTTTAAAAGAGAAGTACTATTTATTAATATTATATTGGATGGTACTGCACAAGAGTTAGCCGGTAAAGAAAAACTGTCTATATTTTGAACATTTATATAATTTCCCAAATAGTCCATTTTATTACTTATTATTCTTCTGAATATGGAAACGTTTCAGGGTGTTTTTCATTTAAATTTATATCTGGGATTGCACACCATCAATCTTTTTTTTTTACATGTTTTAGATAGTGGGTCTGTAAAACTGTGTTCGTACTATTTGATAATTGTTTCATGGGCTGCCGAACCCCCATCGGCCACAGCAGGATTGCCAGGGATAGGCCTGCCAAAAGATAAATATAACAGTCACTTAGTTGACACACCGTGACGATCTGCTGTCCAGAATGATCAGATTTTTTAAAAGAAACGTGCACGTTAATTTTTCACCTATAAGCAGTCCTAAATAAATGGTGGACATTCGCTGATGCAGGTGGTCGGATGTATATGATCAATTTCACAGTTAATTTATTGCGTTATTGTACGTTATATGGTATAATTTAATTAGTATATATGATGAGTGTCAATTAAACTTGTTTAAGCATATTAGCTAAGCGAAAAGTGCTAAGCCTTAAGAAGTTTTCAATAATATTCATGTAAATTAAAAAGAGAAGTGAACCCAAAACGCTATCCTGTGAGGCTCTTGAGAGAAAAAGTGGCTCTGATGAAATATATCGCATGTTTCTTTTTGAAAAATAACAAAACTTGAAATGGTTACTGGCAATTCTAAAAATGTCAAGGTACTGAATGTTAAATTTCCTTTTTTTCCCTGTACCATCAACAGTTCTTTCACGCTCATCTAAGATTGATATGCCGATTTCCTTCCATCCACATAAGTATCAAGAAATCATGGTTTAAGGTAGAGAGGTAAAAAGTAACATTTAATTTCTAATAAACAGGAGGCCTAAAATTTGTCGAAATCTAGCCAAGATTTGACTCTTGACATGAAAAAATACAAAAATTGTACGCCCTAACATCTCGGCCACTAGACACTGTTATATACAAACAATTAATTAAGGTTTTCAGTTGAAATAAAAAAGTCAATGGCACGAGCGGGATTCGAACCCATGAACTTCGGCTTGATACGCATTTGAAAAATGGCAAAAAGGAGGGAAAATTCAAAAGGTGTGGTTGACATGGAAGTTAGTGTCCGAGTGGATTGAGGTCACGATAACTCAAGTGGTAGAGCAGTGGCGTATCAAGCCGAAGATCGTGGGTTCAAATCCCGCTCGTGGCATTGACTTTTTATTTCAACTGAAAACCTTAATTAATTGTAAGATATTAATTGGTCAAGCGGACCATGAACTAGTGAATTTAATAAGTTTAAAATGAAGTATACCTTCACTAAAGCTCTCTGGCCATTTCATTTGTCGTCGAGAATCAAATAGATTACACGACATTTGAAAAATGGCAAAAAGGAGGGAAAATTCAAAAGGTGCAATTGAGATGGGAAGTTAGTGTCCGAGTGGATGAGGTCACGATAGCTCAAGTGGTAGAGCAGCGGCGTATCAAGCCGAAGATCGTGGGTTCGATCCCACCTCAAAGGTTTGCCACTTCCCGATGTGCTGACTAGTGTCAATACCTAAGGGGAGTCCATTTACACCGTAAGTGGCCGGGTTGCTAGTTTCCCCCTTAAGCCAGATGCCCAGAAGATCGTCACTTCCCTACCAATCCCCTCCAATAGGGGCTATTGACAGCCAGGTCATTTCAGCTCCAAACACTGCAGCTATAATCTAGCTTGATAGTAATTAAATTAGATAAGTTAGTCGCACAAATAAATACATTCATACATTGCACCCATTCTGATTAGTCGGTGGAGTACTGGATATTCCTCCATTAACCTACATACAGTATTAATAATTTAATCTAAATTAGGATACTTTTATAAATATGTCGCCAGTGATATACACTGTGAAGGGGCGATGGTGATGCTAATATTACCCCTCACTACACACTAATAAATACATGCATTCAAACACATAGAATATAACTATATACAGTAAAAAAACCATGTCACCATGTCCTCTTAAAAATGGAACAGGTTACCCAGAAACCGACTGCTGTTTTCGAGAACAATTCTTAAATCTGCTGGTAAATCTGTGCGTCAATAAAATATTATAAATTAATAAGGCTATAGTCATTGTACTCAGTACTAAATAAATTCAAACAAGGGGTGAAAAAGTCAGTTTTGGTCGGGATTATGAGAAATAAGAAGTCACACAAAATTTGTGCTGTTTATAAGACAAAATATAAATAAGAGAAAATTTGTGATTGTGTTTACAGAAAAAAATCAAATTAATTTTAAATATCATAATTTGAAGAAAGAATAAAGTCTCAATTAATTATACACAATTTTTTTGAAATGAAAAATTTGTGTCACAGGCGGGATTCGAACCCACGACTTTCGGCTAAATACACCACTGCTCTACCACTTGAGCTACCATGACTTCGATCGCCCATGCCACAAACTTCCCATTTTGACTCTCTAATTTAATCCAATTGTAAAAGCCGAAAGTCGTGGGTTCAAATCCCGCCTGTGATACAAATTTTTCAATTCAAAAGAATTGTGTATAATTAATTGAGTATTTATATAAATAAGTAGAAGCTGATAAAATAATTAAAAATTTAGAAAGAATAAAGTATCTGTGCTAAGATAGCTCTAATCAACTATTCATTATTACAAAACAAAAATAAAAGAAATGGCAAAAGCAGTATTTACATGCAACTGTACAGTGTTTATTGTATTAAAAAATAAACAAAAATAATATAAAACAAAGAAAGAAAGACAAAAGTGATGCTATTTATTTGGAATTGAAAGAATTTAAATATTTATTTCCTCATAAAAAAAGAATAGAAACATCAACCTTGAGCTAGCTTATACTATAAGTTACATAATATTCTACTGTTCAATGTTAAATGACTGAAAATATATCATAAAATGGGGAAAACAACTGTACTTCCAAAAAAAAAAAAAATTTTTTTTCTCAGAAATGTTGAAATTGAAAAAACCACTAAATTTTTACACAAAATATGCAATTGGAATCTAATTGAGTAACAAGTATCACATGTCTGACTTGTCTGAGTCGTTTAAATTATTTAATCTGAAGTTGAACTCGTGAGAGATAAGATGTTTCACTCAATTTCCTATTTTTGTAGAACATGAAATTAAGAAAACAATTCAAATATAATTACTAACATGTATTGTATAAAGTTAAACTAGTTAATGGTTAAATTATTCTAGCTAAATGGCTTGATAATAATAGATGTTCATAGGTTTTAATCTTGACCATGATTAATTGCAAAAGTCTCGATTAAGAGTATAAACTAGCAAGCTCGACAAAAATTTATTTCCAATTGACAGCTTTCATCTTGATATTTTGTAATGTAAAACCCAAAAGCAGATCCAATTGTTTAACATTTAGTGGTAGCTTTGCTGTTTACAATGCAAGCTTCACCTAATTTGGTCATCGAACAAGCTAAAATTCACAGTACATTTTTATAAGTGTAATGAAAAGACAAAGGAATTATATCCTTCTTGTGCAACGCGTAAATAATAAAAGTAAAGATCCTATTGTGCAGTGTTTTGATAATTAATTTTAAATGAAAGTCGCTTAAATTTATAATGACAGAAGATTTTAGAAGGGATCTTTGTAATATAATTTATATAATACCTCAGTCTTATTTGTCCCGGTGCAGAAGTTAGGCTACAGGGGCTATCAACAACTAGATCATTTTATCCCAATACATGCTATGTTTAAAATCAAAACCCACTAACATTCTCACTCACTTTTGCAGTTTTTCTATTTATATATTTATAGGGTGGTGGAGTACTCAATATTCCTCCTTTATCCTTTACGTATATTATACAACTAATCTAATTGAGGTCGTTTGGGTAATCAATATTCCACCATTGACCCTCTCACACAGTGTTCACACTAATAATTACATTCACCCTCAACTTACACTATAGACACAAAACTAACAATATTATATACAATAAAAGAACCCTGTTTCCTCCAAGAATCAGAACAGGTGACCCGGATACTTGCTGCCGAGCTCAAGTACAATTCTCATATCAGGTGGTATTCCTATGGGCTCGCTCCATATAGAAAGCGGCACATGCTTTGGCCTTAGCCCAAAGGTAAGAGTCCATGTGTCAACCACACATGGTCTATTCTTAATTCAGGTGAGGATGACAATTCTTCAACGAGCGAGATCATCTGAGAGCCACTTATTGGCAGTGCTCTTGATACATGAAACCTCTGCCAGCCAGACCCATTGATACTGACACTTTCTTTTAATCAAGTTTTTATTATATTTTTAGCAGCAGGAGGCTGGATCACGGCGGTTATGTCTGGAGGTTGGGAAGGCCTTAGCAACCTCTTCTGCCTTTTTGTTACTCTCCAGCCCAATGTGTCTAGTTATTATGTACTCAATACTCCACCATCCCCACCATACCCTACATATCACACTAATAAATACATTCACTCTCAATATATACAAAAAACACAAGCTATCAAATACTATATACAACAAAACCATCTCATTCCTTCAAAAATCAGAACAGTGGATTCAAATACTCGCTGCCTGACCCAACACAATTCTCAAATTGGGGCTCTCCACTTGTTCTCTGTATGAAGCCAAGAAATGACACCCTTCAATTAAATCAAGACACATGCTGGACAAATGAGGGCCAGTCTGACCCAAAATCAAATGTTCGTGTAGCCAACCTCACACATTTTACTCTTAATCAGGGACCCCTCTTATTCGATTCAGATCCTTTGAGTGTTTCTTATTAAATGGCCTTTGATATATTTTATTGTATTTTTAGCATCTGAAGGCTGGACGCAGTGGTCAGGTCTGGTCAGGAAGTCCTAGCCTTAATTGCCTCAGCGAAGAAGACCGGACATTTGTTCTAGAAATGTTAAACACCCTGGCCATATATGCTTGACTTCTTCCTTTTTCCAACAACGATTCCAGCCAAATTTGTATCAGTTAAAATCACCACTCAAACAAATTTGAAACTTAAAAAGACAACATTTAAAAATCACCGGGATGTTAGTAAGTAGCTTTGCAGAAAAACCAACAAAAACAAGATTGTCAATTAAAAGATTTATTTACAAAATTCAATTGTAAACTCAAGTGGGAAGTTTTATCAGTGTTTTATTTACCTCTAATTCTTTAAAACGGAAAACATATTATTGTAAGATAATTAATGGAGGTTGTCTACGATATAATTAAAAATATTAAAGATGGCCACTTTTTGCCGCTCAGAGTGTTTATAATGAAAAATTAAAAAATATCAAGAAAAGAAATAACTACTTGAAAAAAGTAATTTAGTCAATTAGACCTCTCAACATAATGGATTTAGTAAGTAAAAGAAGAATCATTGCACTAACAGCTTCCTGTGGCCGCTTCACAAGTAGTAGAGAATCGAACCCTGATTACACGACATTTGAAAAATGACAAAAAAAAAGAGGAAAATTCGAAAGGTTGTAGGTTGTGAGAGGGAGTTGATGTTCGAGTGGATCGAAGACATGACAGCTCAAGTTGTAAAGCAGCAGCATATTGAGCCAAAGGTTGTGGGTTCGAATCCCGCTCTTATCACTAACTTTTTCATCTAAACCTTACATAAAAATGTATTAGGTTTCGTGGTTCACTTGACCAAATCAATTCTTTTCAATTAATTAAGGTTTTTGGTTGAGATAAAAAAGTCAGTGTCACAAGCGGGATCGAACCCACGACCTTCGACTAAATATGCCGCTGCTCTACCACTTGGGCTATCGTGACTTCGATCCACTCGGACACTAACTTCCCATCTCAACCCCACCTTTTGAATTTTCGTTCGAATTCCGCTTGTGACACTGACTTTTTTATCTCAACCAAAAACCTTAATTAATTGAAAAGAATTTATTTGGTCAAGCAGACCACGAAATGTAATACATTTTTATGTAAGGTTGAGATGTAAAAGTCAGTGTCATGAGTGGGATTTTCATCTCAACTAAGACCTTACATAAAAATAATAATTAATTGAAATAAGAAATACGGTCTAATTGACTAATTAATTCATAATAGAAAAAATATTATCGTTTAGTGCCTAAAAAAGGCTTTAGTTATAAAATAGAATGAAAGAAGAAATGCCTCAAAATCAGGTGTATGAATTATTTCAATTAATTATTTTTTTAATGTAAAATCTTGGTTGAGATGAAAAAGTCTGTGTCAAGAGTGGGATTTTCATCTCAACTAAGACCTTACATAAAAAGAATAATTAACTGAAATAAGTAATTTGGTCTAATTGACTAATTAATTCATAATAGAAAAAAATATTATCGTTTAGTGCCTAAAAAAGGCTTTAGTTATAAAATAGAATTAAAGAAGAAATGCCGCAAAATCAAGTTTGAATAATTAATTGAAATAAGTAATTTGGCCAATTAGATAGGAGAAAATATTTTGTTGAAGGGTGTTTGCAGGTATTTCACCGAAGGCCGACGATTTCGTCACGAGCGCGTCTGCAGGGCAGTCCGGCGATCACAGAGAGCAGCAGGCGCCCGTCCTTCGTGATTCGTCAGACATGTATTCGTCAGGGAGCCAGGCGAGCACCAGTCCCGATTCCCAGTTGACGACGCTGCCCGGATCGATACACGGCTTCGCCGGCGGTCAAGGCCGTCATTTATGATCATCCGAAGGCTCGTACGAGGAGTCAGTCGCGTCTCGGCGATCATGGAGGGAGTATCGAATCCGAAAGTCGTCTTCGTCCTGGGCGGGCCCGGGGCCGGCAAAGGTACCCAATGCAGTAAAATAGTCGACAAATACAACTTCGTACACCTCTCGGCCGGCGATCTGCTCAGGGCCGAGCGGAACACCCCAGGCACCGTCTACGGCGACCTAATCGAGAGCCACATACGGAACGGGACGATCGTCCCAGTAGAAATCACGTGCAAGTTGATAGAAAGGGCGATGCGCGAGTCGGGACGGACCAACTTCCTCATCGACGGCTTCCCGAGGAACAAGGACAACCTCGAAGGGTGGCAGCGCGAGATGGAGGACAAGGCCGAACTGCTCTTCGTCCTCTTTTTCAAGTGTTCTGAAGATGTGTGCATCGAAAGGTGTTTGAAACGGGGGGCCGAGGGGAGCGGCAGGTCCGACGACAACCACGAGTGCCTCAGGAAACGGATACAGACTTTCCTCAACGACACCATGCCCATCGTCAACTACTACCAACAACACGACCTCGTCAAGTCTGTCGACGCCGACAAAAACGAAGATGACGTCTTCGCAGACATCAAAACCATTTTCGACGGTTTTATGTAAATTCGTCTATATACATATGTACAACTAAAATACGTGCAAATAATCCACAAACAATTTTTCTATTTTATTTATTATAGATATTAAATTTCTATGAAGTTAACGGCTTAATATTTGTATCATAAGTGCACGCTTTTAGAAATATCGTACACTATTGCAGATTAATAAATAAACATGAAATTTAATATAATGTAGTATAAAATAAATAGTTTTCAAATAAACGTTATTACTGTTTAATATTAATTTCATTTATTTATTTTTACGAGGGTTTGAAAAGCAGAGGTTATATCAATCCTCGGGGTGCTGGTGATTTTGAAAAAAAAAGCACATTAGTATGTCAGGTATGAATGCAGGGCCGCTGGATTCAAACCAGGACCTTTACTTTAAAATGATAACATCCAGTGTGGTGTAGTTTTCATTAGCTCCTTAAAATAAATAAAATGGCTAAAAACTGTTCCGAGTGATCATAGTTAACAGAGATCTGGAAAGATAGCCCCCAATAAGGTACATGGATGAATCAAAGATGGGGCTGGGACTAGGTGTAGGGATAAAGGCTGGATTATACCCTAGCAAATGGGGACCGCGGCGGCTGAGTGGTTAGAGTCATTGCCACGCTATCGGTCCTGAATTTGAATCCTGGCACAGCACATGGATTTTTAAATTAAAACAGTATAAAAGTGATTGGACCCCTCATCGAAGACACCCAATTGGTAATTGGACATTAGGCCCTTTTTTTCATACCCGAACCTCCCAAACTAATCAAAACAATCTTCCACAAATGTGCATTATGAAAAGTATGAAGGTTCATACTCATCTACATACTTTAAGACAGTCTGGCTATAAAAGCACTAAATGCATTTAAACTAGACTGGGAATGTCTAAAATGGCTTTAGGAAAACAACAAGATTGTTTAAAGTTAGTTCCTCAATATGAAAATTTTTTAAATTCACTAATTTCGTGGTCCGCTTGACCAATTAATATATTACAATTAATTAGGGTTTTTAGTTGAGATAAAAAGTCAATGGCACGAGCCGGATTCGAACCCACGACCTTCGGCTAAATACGCTGCTGCTCTACCACTTGAGCTATCGTGACCTCGATCCACTCGGACACTAACTTCCCATCTCAACCCCCATCTTCAAATCCCACTTGTGCCATTGACTTTTTTATCTCAACTAAAAACCTTAATTAAATGTAATATGAAAATTATTGAAGGAAATGAACAGGCTGGCCAACAGGCAAAAAAAGGGGCAGCGAGGGTGTGTGTTAAAGTTGGAACAGGAAATATGGCTGGAGAAGGAAAAACTCGAGCTGTGGGCAAAAACACCAGGTATGTAGCAAGCTATGAGATTTATGAATCTCTCAAAATGAATGACAAGTAACTCTCTCAGCAGGAAGAATTTTAGGAAAATTACAGGCCTCTATTCCGGCCACTGCCTTTTTAACTGTCATCTGAAGAAAAAGGGCAAAGTTGAGACAGAAACTCCTCTGTCAGGAGGAATCAGAAAAGTTGTCTCATCCTATGTAAATGTGAAGCAATAATCCATTTTCACCAGGGTCACTTTTGGTAAGGCCGTTCTCATACCAAAATTGAGTACCACAGTGTCCGCTGGAAAAATACATTTTCCCAAGGTATGGCGGTAATTATAGCGGTTCCACAATAGAACTATGTAGGTAGCAACTGAGAAAAGGTTTGGAATCCTTTTTTGACCACCATCAAAAAATGTACCACCCTGTATTTAAAAAAAATATTTTTTTAAAAATGCCGTTCAAATTTTTTATCTAGGTTGTGTAGTGTTTAAAAAGCCAGGGGTGACAATAGTAAATTGCCAACATATAAGAGTGAATTTAATTTGTAAAAAGGTAAATTGGATTTACAAATGTATGAATTTAAATCTAAAAAGGGTCAATTTAACTTAAAAAACCTGTAGAACAATATTGTAATTGAATGAATATGCTTATCTAATTACAATTAGACTCGCTTTCTTTTCAAATTTTTCCTTTAATGATCAATCATAATTATTCATATTTGTTTTTACAATTGGAAGCCATTATTTCAACAAAACTTATTATTAACTTTATTCGATTATTCAAATGTAAAAAAAAAGTAATGCGATTAGTAAGAAAATTGTGAAAACGATCAGGAAATTTTATTCCGTAATAACACTTGTGTCTACAAAATTCCTTTTTTTCTAATACAAAAGATGTGTTTCTAGTCAGTTTCACATATTTTCTCTCAACATGTAATAACTATTAATATTACTAGAATTGATTCAAATTTTAATTGAGCATGAACTGCTCGGCAGTATGTAAGGATAAAATCATCAAATATCTAATACTGATGGTGATGAGCAATTAAGCTGGACAATACAGAACAGTATTGGTTCAACACATCACTTTACTTGGTCTATTTATTCTTTGCGGTTTGAGTGAATAGTAAACCAGTGGCCTACAGACCCAGTAAAGTGATTAGTTCATCCACTTACAAACACAACACACAAACTTCAATTTCATTTAAACATTAAGGAGTAAAACTTTAGTTTCGTCTGTACATTTATGGTTTTCACTTAATAGAAGTGCTCGCCAAACAAGATTAAAAAACGTGTGGTATTTAGTGTCTGTTAATTACCGATAAATAATCGTTTTAAAAAAGTGTCCCAAATTGTAATTGCAGTATTGAAGTAGAGGGGGGCTTGCAAGATATTGAAAAGGCTAGTTCTGCGATTTGAGAATACGTGGCATATGTGCACAGATGGACACAGCAGATGATCAAGTTTTCTAAATGAAACTGGCTAAATAGCTACTCTCATTTAGAAGACATATAACAAAAAAAATCTAAGGGAAGAATAATCTTTGAATCATGACATCATAACTAACGAGTTAATGAGTCACTTTTACACAGGTCTAATTTTAATGTGGAGATAACTGGTTTTGAAGACCTATTATCATTGGTTTTATGAATTAATTTAGATTGTACACAATTTGTATTTATCATTGTTTAATCCTTTGCATGGGTATTTCAAGAAGTATTAAGCTTGATACATAATACACTTGACTATTTTGTTTAGAATAAAAAGACTTCTGATTTAGATCCTGTGATCATCTAAAAATTTCATGTCTAATATGTTTAGCTCTTATTTGTTTTGTATTAAAGGCCACGTAGAAAGCTGAACATTAAAGTTAAAAATTAATTTGTCAATTTCAAGTCTTAAAAAAAGCAATACTTAACTTACACTTAGTTGACTCGTCTAAATAAAGCAACCTAAATTTTACAACCTATATCACAAAACTGTGATAAATATTTTATCATTACTGATAGTGTTTGAGTTACTTCGGCTATGACTAACCCAAGAAAAACAACAGAATTCTAACAATTTATATCGACATCAATTCTTTTAATTTACGTACCTTTTTATATCAAATTATGCAGATTAGCACTTTAATTTGGTAATTTATGAAACCAATGCATGAGTTTTCTTATAAATATGGCGATTTTTTAATCGTTTTTATTTATGTTAAAGGAACATACTTTTTATGAATAGCTTAATTTTTCTTATTTATAGGCCTTTTTTGAGGGTGGTTAATTTTTTTCCAAAAAAAGGCCTATAAATAAGAAATATGAAACCATCCTTAAAAAGAAAAAAAGACATCAAAAACTAAACATACCTTATCCATAAGTTTGGGCCCTTTCTTCGTGGCAGAGGTTTCGACGGCATCACCGACCTCATCGACCTTCTTGTACAACCTGTCCCAGTTGACTTTAACGTAGCCGTTGTGGTTTGCGACCTGGAGAAGTATTATACCACCACCGAGAGCAACGGCGGCGACCTTGCCTACCTTCATCATCAAATAACCGGTCATCCTAAGAAAAAAAAAAAAAAATTTTTTTTAACAAACATTTTAAGAAAATAGTCTTGATCAATTTCTCAAAATTTTGAAGATTTCTTTTATTATTTCTATTTGTAAATAAATTGGATGGATGAATTTAAGTATTTGTATATTCAGTTTTTTTCCAATATTGACAGTAGTTGAAGTTTGATTTGAAGGCCAACTCTTGTTAATTTTTTCCCCTAACAGAGTTGATGAGAATTGTTTGTATTGTTACAGTGTGTAACACTCCTAATCTCATTCAATGTAAATTTAACAAGTCGTCCTTTAGCAAATTTAAAAAAATAATCTCAAACCCAAAACACGTTTTTGGAATTAATTTATATGGCTAGTCATAAATTAGCTATTTGCTTTGTTCCATTGATTTCAAACAAATATGAAAATTAAAAATAAACTGCTATAATGATGTTATGTTTGACATTTCATTATTGGTGTCAAGGAGCATGAAGAGAGAGAGAATTGACCTTTGGAATTCAACGATTTATGTAATTATAAGGTTTTATTGTTTTACTTCAACGTGAACAGGGGGAGAGGCAAATTAAATTATTTCTTATAAAATCCATTTAAAAATATACATAACAGGTGGAAGAAATATGCTAAGTTGCCAGAAGTGGATAAAGTTTTGACATGGTAACTAAAATCATTGAACTTTTATTATGTCGTACGTTGATTTTTAAATAATTTAAGTAAGACAGGTAAGACAAATAGGATGTATTTCTATTAGCCTGTCATAATCGGCTAAAAGTTACATGCACCGCACAGGCTTCTCGTTAAATCTTTTTTGTCAGATCTTTCTTTTAATCCCAAAATAAATTTATTTTTGAGTTGAACGATATGGCTTTTTAAGTAATTCAAATCATTCAAATTTTACATACACATTTTCTCTACCAGTCACCTAAATACAAACTATAAAACTATAAACTATATAAAAGTACATTCATTCGTATCTTGTTTATTCAAAACTATATGTATTTTTATTGTTATATTTATTACTACATACTTATTTTAATGTAAACCAAATTAAATGAGATCAGAAATTCATGAGTTTTAATAAAAATTATGATGGTTTGAAAGAAAATTATCCAAAATGCTGGATTATCGTTTAGTGATAGATTTAAATTTAACTAACAATTTTTAACTTCGTTTTGCTTTTAATAACACATATTACCTCCAATGACCTCACGGAGGGGTTAAGTCTCCTAGGCATTGAGTAAATGAGCAACTGGAGTTTGTTTTGTGAAACAGAAACCATCCTTCAATAAGAATGGTTTGTTCAACGCTTGTTGGAGGCAGTGAATGATTTTAACTTGTCTCTTAATCATGTACCATAAATTTTCCATGGATTTCATGTCAGAATGTGCTGGAAAATTCATTGTACTAATTCCTACATCCTACAAGTGACAGCTTGAGCTATGTGCGGTTGAGCATTATCATGCACTAATACAAAGTTGTCCCAATAAATGGAGCGAACGAGATCACAGCTTCCAGAAGAACTTTTTTTTTCAAAATGAAAAATTTGTGTCACAGGCAGGATTCGAACTCATGACTTTCAGCTAAATACGCCTCTGCTCTACCACTTGAGCTTCCGTGACTTAGATCGCCCAGCCACAAACTTCCTCAATGAACCTTTGAGTTAGTGTAGTACCCCATACCATAACTGACTAACTTTGAAAAGACTGACTCGTGCATGGTGCTTGCATCTCCATGCACTGTCCTAGTCATCTGATTGCCACAAACAAACTCATGTGAAAATAACACCCCCCCCCATTTTTATTCAAGTGTCCCAGGGAGATACTGATTGGGAAATAGTTGCCTTCCTATCGGTGCCTCTCCAGTAGTAGAGTACCTGATAAGTAATGTCTAGAGACTAGGTATTCTCACAAAGTCTTCTGAGGACTATTTTAGATCTTACCATTTGGAGTTGACTATATATCAAGGAAGCCATTAAATGATGGTTCAGTAAGGTAAGAGTAATGAAAAAATCGCCTCTAGCCAGTGTATGACACACACTACTACATTTTCTTTGATCGATTCTTTCAGTGGCCCAACACTGCTGTAGACCATCATGGATGGTAGAGCGCGACATACCAGGTCTTGGGCTATGTAACAGATGCTAAGTCTGTCATTGACCAAAGCATCTGCCTGGGGAAAAATTCTAGACTGATTGATGATTGAATTGATTTTTTAAATTTTTATTCTAAAGAGTATACGATTAGTAACACTCTATAAAGGAAAACAAGTTATTAATGCTGTGTTTATGTTCTAAGTCAACTATTAAATTTTATATCTATTTATTATGTAAAATAAACAAATAAATACAACTGTCTGTTTTTGGTTGTAGTACATTTATAAATTATGCTTAGGAAGAAGCTTCCACTGAGAAGAACCTTGAAAATGACTGATTAAAAAACCCATATTCATTTCTTTATGCGTCAAAAATTTTGACAGGGAAGATAGAATCTCAAAGAAATATTGGGTTGTCCGGAAAATAATGCAGGATTTTAAGTTTTCATTAAAAAAAATCTATATAAAATATTCTGTTTACGTTTACAGGATTACTCATTTGTATGAATGTCAACACTTATTAATCCTCTTCCAAATGATATTGTTTGTTTACCTCTGTAGCATTCCGCTACTTGGAAATAATTCAGTCATCCTTATAATGTCAAAGCGAGAATTTCGTACGATTTTCTTTTACGAGTTTAAACTCGGCCGAAGCGGAGCCCAAACGGCTAGAAACATTAACCAAGTCTGGGGCGAGGGTTGTGTTAATGAGTGCACTGTGCAAAGGTGGTTTAAAAAATTTCGGGAGGGAGATTTCAGCCTTGAAGATGAAGAAGGTCGTGGAAGGCCTTCCTCTCTTAATGATGATGTTCTGCGATCAGTGGTGGAAGAAAACCCCAAAACAACTGTTCGAGAACTTGCAGAGCAACTCAAAGTCAGTAAAACGACCGTCGCTGACCACCTCAAGGCGATTGGAAAAGTGAAAAAACTCGAAAATTGGGTTCCACACTCATTAAACGATCGCCAAAAAAATCAGCGCTTTGATGTTTGTGCATCACTTCTTTGTCGAAACAAAAATGACCCATTTCTGGCCAGAATTGTTACATGTGACGAAAAGTGGATTCTCTACGATAACACTAGACGTTCTGGACAGTGGCTCGACAAAGGAGAAGCTCCAATACATTTTCCAAAGCCCCCAACTCATCAAAAAAAGGTAATGGTTACGGTATGGTGGGCTTCATTTGGTTTAATACACTACAGCTTCTTAAATCCTGGCGAAACCATCAATGCTGAATCATACTGTAACCAAATTAATACCATGCATCAGAAATTGGCAGTAATGAAGCCCTCTTTGGTCAATCGGAAAGGGCCCATTTTGTTGCATGACAACGCTCGACCACATGTGTCACGTGTAACGTCACAAAAATTATTGGAGCTTGGCTATGAAACTTTGCCTCACCCACCCTACTCTCCGGACCTCTCGCCTACTGACTACCATTTTTTTAGACACCTGGACCACTACTTACAACACATAATATTCAAAAATCAAACGGAACTGGAAAATGCATTTATTGACTTTATCAATTCTAAAAATTCTGAATTCTACTCAGACGGAATTAATAAGTTACCAACACGTTGGGAGAAATGTATTGAGAGTATGGGAAATTATTTTGATTAAAGAACATTGCTTTAAAGTAACTAGTTTCTTTTTTTTTGTTTAATACCAAAATCCTGCATTATTTTCCGGACAACCCAATATAAGATCAGCTTTGATTGTGGCACAAGTCAGGTTGTTTTTCACTTGTTTACAAAAATTGGATTATACTCAATTCAATACAGCTTTAATTAGATTTCTACTTTTAGCCCACATAGACAAACATTCATTCTTTAATAACATGTATTCAGAGAGGACTTGGTTGAAGATGATTTTTTTTTTTAAATTTTTAAATGTGTGAACAAATTTTTTCAAGAATTTCAAGCTTTTTTAAGCCAGTATGTCACAATTGAGATATACGAAGGGTGGAGAAGCCATATTCAACCCACAACTAGCTTTAAAAATGTTTGGTTCTTACATTCACAACATATTATTACATAAATTACAATTACAAGACTACTCAAGAAAAATATTGAAAGATGAGAACCCTGTGAAAATGTGAATAAGAAGACCCTAACCATTTTTATCCTCCCTTAGCGTTGTAATGAGCTGAGATCCACACCCAGGCCTCCTATTGCCACTTCCAGTCTGTCGGAATTGGGGTAAAGACCAGACCATCTCAAAGAATCGTTAACTGCCTGTACGACATTGCTGGTGACCTCAATGGCTCATTCTCACAATAATATTGCGAACTTCTGATTCAAGATGATATATTTCCATTGTTAAAAAGAATACAAATAGATTAAATTGGAAAAAAGATGAGAAAAGGTGTTTGTTTAAAAAATGGGTAATCTTCATGTTTAGTATTCTTAAATAAATCCATTATTAAAAAGAAGGATCAACAAATTTTTAGTTTTTGGTTTGTATTTTCTATTTTGCTTTATCCAACTAACAATAACATATTGGTTAATTTAAGTAAAATTAATAGAACAAGAATAAATTATGAATATCTCAGCAGGAAGGATTTTAGGAAAATTATAGGCCTCTTTTCCGGCCACTGCCCTCTCAACTGTCATCTGAAGAAGATGGGCAAAGTTGAGACAGAAACTCCTCTGCAGGAGGAATCAGAGAAGTCGTCTCATCCTATGTAAATGTGAAGCAGTAATTCATTTTCAGTATGGCCACTTTTGATGCCAAAATTGAGTACCACAGTGTCCGACTGGAAAAAAACACTGTAATTATAGGGGTAGCTAGTAAGTAAGAAAAAAAAATTTCCACCCTGTATTTTTTTTAAATGTATATTTTAATAAAGGTGCTATTTAAATTTTTTATCTAGGTTATATAGTTTTTAAAAAAGCCAGGAGTGACAATCGTAAGCTAACAATACTACATGTATATATGAGTGAATTTAATTTGTAAAAAGGTAAATTTGTAATGGAAATGTATGAATTTAAATCTAAAAAAGGGTCAACTTGATTTTTAAAAAACCTGTAGAACAGTTTAATTGAAAAAAATGATGAATGGTAGAGTGAGTGTGGTGTTCAATCCTTTTTTATAGTTCCTACTCACAGTAAGTACTGTTGGTAGTAGTATACTTACTGTGAGAAGGAACTATCTTTTAAAAAGGGTTGTAATTGAATGTACATGCTTATTTAATAAGACTTGCTTTATCTTCAAATTTTTCCTGCAATGATCAATAACCATTGCTCAAATGTCTAATCTATTTTAAAAGTAGCCTTGATGGTATAAAGAGAATATAAAATTTCCTGACACAGAATTATGAACACCCTCAGGAATTACAATATGATTTAGACAAACGGTTAGCGGAATACAATAACCAACTTATCCATGAGTTTTGCATTGACATATAAAATTCTAAAAATAATGAAAATGATTATTCATTAGCAATTTATTAATTATTCCTATTTGTTTTTTAATTGGAAGCCATTATCAATAATCATGAATCAGGACAGTATGCATTTTATTTCTATAGAATTTATTATTAACTTTATTCGATGATTCAAATATAAAAAAAGAGTCTGTTGGAATTGGGGTAAAGTTCAGGAGACCTTTGTCCTTTGACCTTGATCTTTGATTGAATCTAAAAAAATTTCTAGCATTGTATAAATTCATTTTTTTAATCTAAAATTTCTAGCATTGTAAAAATTCATTTTTTTAATCTAAAATTTTCTAGCATTAAATTCATTTTTTTTAATCTAAAATTTTCTAGCATTGTATAAATTCTTTTTTTTTAATCTAAAACTTTCTAGCATTGTATAAATTCTTTTTTTTAATCTAAAATTTTCCAGCATTGTATAATAAATTCATTTTTTTTAATCCAGAATTTTCTAGCATTGAATAAATTGATTTTTTTTTAAATCCAGAATTTTTAGCATTGTATAAATTCTTTTTTTAATATATTTTTTTCTTTCCAAAAGGTAGATCGGGGATGAGGCCAGGAAAACAGAAACAACATTTACTTTCTTGTCGAGCTTTCGGCAGAATATATCGCCTTCATCAGGACTTCGAAACAAATCGTTATACTATATGAACAAGTACATGTGTCGATAACGGATAGCCGATAGAACCCACCTTCGATAAACGAATTATTTTTAATCTAAAATTTTCTAGCATTGTATAAATTCTTTTTTTTTTTAATCTAAAATTTTCCAGCATTGTATAAATTCATTATATAAAAATATATTTAAAAAAAGAATTTATACAATGCTAGAAATTCTAGATTTAAAAAAAATCAATTTATTCAATGCTATAAAATTCTGGATTAAAAAAAAATGAATTTATTATACAATGCTGGAAAATTTTAGATAAAAAAAAAAAGAATTTATACAATGCTAGAAAATTTTAGATTAAAAAAAAAGAATTTTCTAGCATTAAATTCATTTTTTTTAATCTAAAATTTTCTAGCATTGTATAAATTCTTTTTTTAATCTAAAATTTTACAGCATTATATAAATTCATTTTTTTTTAATCTAGAATTTTCTAGCATTGAATAAATTGATTTTTTTTTTATCTAGAATTTCTAGCATTGTATAAATTCTTTTTTTAAATCTAAAATTGTCCAGCATTGTATAAATTCATTCATTTTTTTTTTTAATCTAAAATTTCTAGCATTGTACAAATTCATAATTTTTTCCCCACATCCTACATGTATTTGTGAAATTCAAACAATGTTTTTAAATCCCAGGCCCGGAAGATGATGTCAGTAAAGAAAATGTTGGCACGATAAAGAAAATGTTTTTCTAAAATCTACATCACACCAGACCGCATCTCACGATCTCCGAATAATTATAAAAAAAAGTTATGTGATTAGTAAGAAAATTGTGAAAACGATCAAGAAATTTTATTCCATAATAACATTTGTGTCTACAAAATTCCTTTTTTTAATACAAAAATATGTTTCTAGTCAGTTTCATATATTTTCTCTCAACATATAATAAATGTTAATATTACTTGAATTGATTCAAATTTTAATTGAGCGTGAACTGCTCAACAGAATGTAATGATAAAATCATCAAATATCTAATACTGATGGTAATGAGCAATTAAGCTGGACATACAAAACAGTATAGGTTCAACACATCACTTTACTTTACTTTGTATTTTCTATTTTGCTTTATCCGACTAACAATAACATCAATTAAAATTAATAGAATAAGAATAAATTACGAATATCCCCATTCGTTTTTAAGCAGTTTGTATAAAACAGCTCCGTGACTGACTGAGAGACAAAGCACAGACCAAGCCGCTGGATCTAAAGCACTGATATTTCAACAGTACATTCCTATAATGACATGATTGGCTAGATGTAGATGTAGATGTAATAGGGTGTAATATACCACACCCTTTAAGAGCTATTGTATCTGCCGTTCTGTGTCTAAAGTACACCGGTAAGTCCTATTTCGTCAAGGAGCTTGATTAGTAGGCCCGGTTTCAATGGTTGAATCTCTTCTATGGTCACATTGTACGTCCTCCTGCATGCAAGTGTAGCACCGCAGTCTGTATAATTAGCCACTAAGAAAGGATTCTTTGAAATTCCATCCATAATGGGATCATATGGACAATTGTTTACCATGTAGAGATCAAAGTTAAATGAAGAAGAAAACAATTTGAAAAACGAGACATTATAGAAAGAAAGCCATACTAGCCCTCTGCATCGCATTAGAAAGGTACATTAAAACCGAGTCCCACGAGTGAGGAAAAAGCTAGTGTGACACATGATGATGCATAAGAACCAATAATTTATTTATTTGTATGTACTTTTAGTAATGTTTTGTATTCAGCATGTAGTAATTTATTGGAGCATGAAAATAAAGGAAAAACTGTCATTTGTTTCTCTTGGACGGTTTATGACTTAGGGCCATCGAGGCAAACTAGGCAAGATGACAGTTGTTTTTGGCGCATAGCTTTGCGAACCATCCGCAGAATGGATGAAACCGTTTCGGTTTATTGTTTTATGAATTTTTTTTTGTTATTCTAAAAAAACCTTACCATCCTGAAGCACAACCGATTATCAGTTGTTTAGTGGCCGAGGTCTTTCCGACGTCTTTGATCACCTTGTCTACGATGTTCTTCGCCTCCTTGGAGACATCGTCTATGGTGATCGGGTCGGTTTCGTTGCTGGAGCCACCCCTGTTCGTCACAGTCGGCATTCTGGTTGTTCTATTGTCTGAAAATTTTTCGGGGAAAAAAGCATACGATTAAGAAAGGGCGGAACAGTCGAGACGGAGCAACTTACTAGATTAACAGAAAAATCTACCCTTAAACTCTTTCTAATCAACTAGGTGAATATTTAAAATTTAAAAGTGAAAACTTTTAGGTGATGCACTGCTTATCAATCAGCTGCTGTTTCTAGATGTAGATCGCGACCCTGAGGTTTAGCTAAGGTTTACTCCAAATAGAAATAAAGTCATGTCTATTTTTAAACTTAAGATCCTTTCTTTTCATTCGTCACATTTGTTTCAATCCTAAATAAAACGCAGTTTAATAAAAACCCATAAACAAATATAATTTGAAAGAAATAATTTGTTATTAGAACTTCCCCCCTGCTTGTAAAGATTCAACATTCAATACCTTGCACAATTCTTGACAAGTTGCAAAGCCAAAAATTAAATCTTTCTTAGTAATGCAAACTTTACAAACAAATAGAAAAAAATAATTGCAGGAAATATTTCCTTACTAAAAACAAGTTATGAATCAACAGAAAAACCCAAAATTACGAGATTGACAAACATATATTCGTAATAAATTTGTTTTTATTCCTCCGTATGATACAAGCTTGGCAGTAAATTATAAAAATCATAAAGTACCTATAATGTTTGGCAAATTTGGCTCCCTCATTCAGCAAAATTTTTGCATTCAATATCCTTGGTTATTAGGCTTTTCTTTGTCTCTGGCAAAAGTAGGCTTTCTTATGTAATCAGGCAACAAATCACAGTCGAAATAACAATAATTGCTCATATTTATCTCTCAGCCTTTGCTGATTATCCAATTTTTTTAAATCAATTTTTAACCTTGTCGTAGAAGCCACCAATGTCCTGAGTGTTACTCCAAGATCTTACTGGGTTCTAATTAAGGATATTAAAATATAAAATGTTAGTTGCGCTTCACAACAATTAAGTGGGACTTTCTTTCTCTTCCCCATCAATTTATGTATGCTTAATAGCACATGCACTTTTTTTGTTATAGACTAGTAAATTTCTAAGATTATTTAAACTGAAAGTAGTAGATTTTAAGTCCTTTCATTTTCTTAGATTTAATAATTTGCCCCTTGTGCAGAGAAAGGTTGCTCGATGTGTCCCACATAAAAGAGGCATGTCATGACTTGGCTCCATACAGAGAGCATGTAGGCATGCCGCCAGACTTAAGAAGAGTTCTCGAACATGGTAGCAAGTTTCAGAGTCCCTTGTTCCCCTTTTTAGGAGAAATTGGGTTTTTTATTGTATATATATGCCTTATGTGTCTATATGTTTGTCGGAGTGCATGTATTTATTAGCGTGAATGGCGAGGGGTGAGGGTGAAATATAACGTCATCATCACCCCTCGAATGTTGAGAGCGTATGAGTGTGTTTGGGGTCGATGGTTAGGGATGAATGTATTTACTTGCATTTGAAAGGGTAAATAGAATATAGACTTAGTTGGGGGATGAAATGACCTAGATGTCGGAAGCCCCAGTCAAAAAAAAAATTATTTCTAACCTGTCCATATTAATACAAAATGACCATGACTAGCATGCACCCAGAAAACACGTTATAAGAAACTAGTCTATGCTGGCACACAATATGAGGGTTTTGAGATGCAGAGTGCAGAGAGGACTTCGGCAAAAGGGCTAGGATGGATTGAGAGTTTGGGTGGAACTTTTCTAAAAACAAACAAATTTTCATCAAGGCCATATTGAGACACATACTATACACGATTGTGGATAGTGACATCCATGTGTGAATTATCTTAACTTTACTATTATTATAATAGTTCAACATTTATTGATTTAATAAAAATAATTGGTTGATAGCATAGGGTTATTATGCAATTTGTATTAATTAAGCAAGCATAAACAATATAAAAATACGATAATAAAAGAGAATTTATTTACAGTATAAAGAAAAGTAGTTTAATAAATTTACATCAAATATATACATTTTTCTACCTTAATATTAATAATACGGATTAACTATTATTTTTTCTGAAAGAAACTTGTGATTGATCGTTGTTTGTTTCCTTTGGGCGAAACTTTCTTGCCCTTTCCCTTCTTGGGTTTTTCTTCCACCGTCTCTGGCTTCTCTGCCGGTTTGACTTCTTTTTTTGGCGTTTCGATCACTTCAAGTTTTGGCTTTTTCTCATTAGAGGCTTCATCGTCGCTACAGCTTTCAACGACGTATTCTTTCTTGGTTACTAAAAACAATTACATTATAAAAAATTTTATTAACAAGATAATATAATTTGATCGGATCTTACCCATAAAACCATTATCATCGACGAAAACGTTGTCGACTTCTTTTTTCACCTTTTTCCTTCCTTTGGTAAAAGGCGTCGCTGGGATTATTTCTTCTTCACTATCAGGAAGGGCTTCAGCGAGTGTCTCTTGCTCAGGTGTTGGAGGAGCCTCTTCTGTATACTCCATTTCTTAGGGAGAGAAAAAAATATATGCAAAAAAAAAAAAAAAAAAAAAAAAAAAAAAAAAAGCTTACCTTCATCACTACTTTCTGATTCACTTGCCAGTACGATTCGTTTTCGTTTTTTATTTGCTAACTGACGAGAATCTTTGCTTTTCTTTTTCTTGCTTTCATTCTTGTTTTTGACCAATGGCTATAAAAAATATTGATAGCAATTTTAATATAATTTTTTACTATTAAAATAAAGTATGATAAAAATACCTTTTTATCTTTTTCATTTTCTTCAATTTTCATTTCATCATTTGTCTCATCTTTGTTTGAGACATGGATGTTTTCTTTGAATTCCTTCTTTTCGACTTCCTTAACCTCTTTATTTTTTGCATTTGTCACTTGCCTGCTGAACAACACGCCAATGCCACCACCTTTTACAGGCCCTGTTTTTTTCTAAAAATAATAAAACAATTAAATATAAATAAAAGATTTTGATAATTTACGTGCATAATTTATTATGTACTTTAGTGGTATTTTTCTTCGGTGATGTCCCTTTTTTAGAAATTTCTGTCTTTTTAGGCGAAGTTTGAACTTTCTTGTCATTTTCTAACTATAATGGATAAAATTAATAAGATATAAGTATTTATAAACTAGACAAAATGTATACCTCACTCTCCTGCTTAGATTTCAATGGTTCAGTTTTAATCTGTTTGTTTGGTAGACCGTTGTTAACTTTGGTGTCCGCCTCTTTTACAACCTTCTTAATCGGCTGCTTGACTTCTTCTTTAACGCTGATCGATGCAAACTTTCGTTCTATTAATTTTATTTCTCCGTTGCCACGAATTGATGAAAACCTACTCGGGCATGTTTAGATTAATGCGCGCAAAAAAAAAAAAGGATAACAAAGACGTACCTTTTGTCCTCTTTGGTCAATTCGTAGCTTTGGTCGGCATTGTACAAATCGGTGCCGGTTATGCTGGCCGCTCTCTGAACGCTGTAGACGTGCTCGGTCGAAACGGTGGAAAATTTTTTCTTGGCTTCTTCGATCTCGTCCGATTTAACGAGAATAAATGCAAACTTCCCTTTCTTTCCTTGCTCCCCACCGATTAAATAAGTTGTGAGAATTTTATCAGCATTGTCTGACGATTCAGAAAAAGCATACAGAAGCCTATAAAAATAGTTTTAACATTTCTAAAAGTTTCTTTATTTGTTATCATTCTAATTGTATGTTAAGTGTAATGCCCAAGAGCCTAACGTAAGGGATCATACAAATTAACTTATAAATATTTATTTTTTCTTAATTATTATCAATTCAGTTTTGATGGGGTTTTAACTTTTGACTCAAATAAATGAACATTCTAAAAACCAAAATTTATTTAATTTTAGAGTTCAATTCATCATCAATCACTTCCCAGTGTAAAATAAATAAATCCAATAAATAAAATAATCACAAATCAGAATATCCTTTCCCCAAGGACCCCAATCCACCATGGAGAAGCAAGTGTTCCACAAGGCAGCATCCTTGGTCCCATTTTTAATCAGTATACACTGCAAATATTTCTACCAATCCTCAAGTCAAATTCATCATCTGCACAAGCAGCTTTCAAGCTGAAATGCATGCCATCAACACTTGTGATTGAGGCCACACTGACAAAAAAAAAAAAAAAAAAAAAAAAAAAAATCAAGGTCAGAGAGCCAAGCAGCCATTAAAGCATTAATACATAAAAATATCGAATCAAAAATAGTCAGTGAATCAATCCAAAATCCGGGGAAACGATGACATCTTGGAAAAAATGGTAGTCGGTAGGCATGAGGTCTGGAGAATAGGGAGGTCATAACCAATATCCAACAGTTTTTATGTTGTCACATGTGAAACATGGGGTCTAGTGTTGTAATATAACAGAATCGGCCTTTTCTGATTGAACAAAACTGGCTTCAAAATGCCAATTTCTGGTGTATTGCTTCAATTTGAGAGCAATATATTTCAACATTGATTGTTTCACCAGGATTCAAGGAGCTGTTTTTTTTTTGTGTTTTTTAAGAGTTTGTGGCTTTGGAAAATGTGTAGCTGCTTCTCCTTTGTCGATCCACTGTCCAGAACATCTGCTGTTATCTAGAGAGTCCACTTTTCATCATAAGTAAGAATTCTATCCAGAAAAGGTTTGTTTCTCTTTTGGCAAGAAGTGTTGCATAAACTTAATAATGATGATTTTTCATCATTTAATGCCTAAGGAGCTTTTGAACTTGTCACCTTGCCAATTGCCTTAAGGTGGTCAGCAATGGTCGATTTGCTAACTGAAAGATTCTCTGCAAATTCTCACAGTTTTTCTAGGATTCTCTTCAATCAAAGCTCGCTGAACATCATCATCTAGGGAATACATTTGTCTTCAAGGCTAAAGTTTCTCTCTCAAATTTTCTTAAAGCAGCTCTGAACTCTCTCACTCCCACTGCCACCGCCCAAGACTGCATTAATGTATCTAACCATTTGGGCACCGTTCGAACGGGGTTTAAACTAGAAAATAATGAAGCAAAAATTGAGCGTTTACATGCTAATAAAGACTGAATTATTCTCAGTAACGAACCGATCACATTTTTGTTTGGAAGAGGACATTTGTACAAAAGAATAATCTATTAAACATAAACAGTTTATTATGTAGAGGGGTAATTGAAAGAAAACATGAAAACCTGATTTATTTTCTGGACAACCCAATAATACTCAATTTGGGGTGAGGCAAAAACATAGCACACTTGGATTTTATTTCCAAGCAAAAACAAATCCCTCTAAGTAATCAAGACTAATCCAGTTCTGTTTCTGCTTTGATTGTGATAAAATTTACCTGTGCAATGAGATGTTGAGATGAGCAAAATCTTTAACATCAGTTTAGAAAAATATTATTCAGTAAAGGAAAAATTGAGGATTTTTGCATTTCTGATGTCTTAAAAAGTACCGGTAGGAGTAGAAAAGTGATTTTAAGGTTTCTGAACCACACCCACGTTTCAACCTGCCTTCAGAGACAGGTTCAAACAAAGACGTGACCCTCAGGTAAGTACTACCCCCGCACAGTATAGACTGGGGACCAGTATTAAAAGAAGTAGGATGGAGTATTCTTCCACTCCACCTTCTGCAAAAGGACCTGCCAAAAAACCAAGGCAAGGAAAGGCAAAGGAAGAACAGGTAATGACACATAAACCATTGTTTAAAGTTGATTTTAGGAAAGCCAACAAGGATTTCTTCACAAACGATGAGGCACTAGAGTTGAGATCACTGATCTGCAACAATGTCCTCGAACTGATTGAGGAAGAAGACAAGGACCAAAGCGTGGATTTCATAAATTCAGGTCTTGTTAAAGGAGGATCCATGTTCATGATAAGCTGCGGGGATGAACTCATCGTCAAGTTTGTCAGGGAGATGCTAAAGAAGCTGTGGGATGAAAGGGAATATGTGGTCCAGAAGCAGATGCTAAAAACTCCAACAAAATCCAATGATGACACTGGAGTTGAACCGCATCAGGGTGAAAGTCTCCATACCCTCTCTACTATAGATAATGGAAATTGGTAAGGACCTATCTCCACTGACAAAGAACGATGGAAGTGACTCTAATAGAGAGTATGGATAGAGGTAAGGATAATGTAGGAGCAGGCGGTCCTGGTGTGGAGGGGATGTTTGTCAGTGAGCTTTCTAGCGAAGCCGAGGATTCCCTTCTGAATCAGAGTTAAACAGTCCCCTTCTCATTTAAGTAACTCACCCCGAGTGTACCATGGATTATTCATGATGAATCTCAGGGTGTCACAAATTAATGTGCAGCACAGCAAGATTGCCACGGCCGAAATCAGTAGGGACATGACTGTGCTGCAAACATTGATTTATTTAATACAGGAACCCTATTTCTATAGAGGCCTAGCAATCGGTTTGAAAAATAAAACTTTTGAACTGTTTCAGGATCTAAGGCATAACAGGCCGAGAACATGTATTGTGGCCCATAAGGAATTAAGACCAATTCCTATAACCAGGTTTTGTTCTAGGGATATCATTACAATATCAATTGATTTCAGGTATGCTAGGTCTAGATTTGAAATCTTTGAACGAGCGGGCATCACCAAATCACTCCCTGAGATAAAATGGTCCAAAATCTTGGGGTTTGTGAACAAGTCCAAGAGATTTATGCAGGACACGTGAGCCGACCAAGTCCCGGACCTTTTAGGGATGGGGTACGAGTCTACCCAGGCATTTAACCCCTCGGGTCTTGGTCACCCACCCTGCGTAATATATAAGGTTTTTGAAATCTCCGGAAATCTCCTGGAAAACTGTCTGCCTTAACAACATGACAAAAATGGATAATTTTAAGGACACTTTCAACTCTACTTTAATGGGCCCGTCAAACTGCTGCATGAACTGGGTTACAGACAAATTTTAAAAACATCCAAAGGGCTGTTCCCACAGTTCCTCACATTCAAAGGAAAAAAATGAAAGGAATACTAGCCCTAAGTACGGCGCATAAAGAAGGACAGAAGAAGTTTGCCTGCGATCATGTTCAATGGAAAGTGCAATGGAAATCCTGTTTACTGATGAAAAAATTCAGAAAAAATACCCTGTATGCAACCAACGTCACAACCATCAAACATTAAGCCCAAGATAATAAAACTAAACAAATTCCTCGCAGAAGGCCAAGAATACTGAACATTTCAAAAGGTAAAAATAATATACTACAGCAAAAATGGACATTAGACGACAATGAGGTGTTAAGTATAAAGTTACTTACTGCTTAGCCGTGTTGACGTGTACTTGAAGAGCTTTGCTCAAGTACTTATAAGTCACCTTTTAAAACAGAAAACGTATCAAGAAAATCAAAACAAAAATTAAAAAAAAACAATTATGGGAAACTTACGATTTTATCCTCGACCAAGACAAAATCTTCGATGTTCCTTAAGTATTTCTGAAGCTCGCCCATGTTTGTTTTTAAGATTTGTATATTTTTAGATAAAATGTTAAGCTAAAATGTGAATTAAACATGAAAAAAAGCATTGAGAATAGATAAAGAGAATCGAAATCAAAAACTGACCTTACAACACACACAAACTCGTCTTTAGTAGCTAGTTTTTGTTATGGCAATCGATCATTATGTTACTTTAGAATTTAATACTGGTTTAGTTTAAAAACTTATGTAAACATAAAATGGCTATTTACAAATAATAAATTTAATGATTGAGGTTTCTAGCAACATGTTAAGGTTACTTATAACGAACATGCACACTAGCGCCTGTTTGCCGCGCAAGTTCAAGGTCAAACTGCACGCACTTTTAAGCGCAAAAAAAGGACAATTCAATTATTTTGTTTACGGTTTTATAAATGAATAAAAAAATTTATGGCATAACATTAAAGAATTTTTATATTTCTATTTATATTTTATATATATATTTTTTTTATTATAAATATATTTTATATTTATATTCCATCCCTAACCATCCCTAACACAGGGATCTTGTATTAGACCTCTTTTTTTTTGTCTATTAACGATATATCAGGTTCAAATTTCTACTTTGTGCAGATGAACTAAAAAATTCTAGAATAGTTGAAAATTTTGGTGATGCTATCTGCTACAGTTAAACATTGATAGGTTCATGGTGCAAAGGCAAATCTCTCAAATTGAATGAGTTATTTCAAGTGCAATAAAAAATTAATTTTTAATTTTTTATGCAAAATTGATGGCACTCCTCTCCGTAGAGTCAATAGCTTTTGTGAACTTGGGATTCTGTTCACATCTCTTTCATCTGTAAATCTTATTGATGTCATTAAGCAAAAATCATTAAAAATATTAGGTTTTATTAATAGAGACACCAAGCACTTTAGTAATATTCAGTCAATCATTTTGTCCATCAGTGTATATTATAATGTTAAGATTAGACTTTCTATTACTTTTGTAAATGTGGATCTTTTGTTTTTGCATTATTTTTGTTATGCTTTATTTATCAATATTCTATTTAATTTTTCGATAGTGTACATCCCGATTTTATTGAAACTCCATAATAAGTTGTTAAGTAGGAAGTAAATTGTCAATCCAAAATAGGAGCTTATTGTGGAAAAGACAGTTTACTTCCTCCTCATCAACTTAATATTCTATTCATTTATGTTTAGTGGTCTAATTGACCAAATTACTTATTTCAATTAAATATTCTTTTTAGGTAACGTCTTGGATGAGATGAAAAAGTTAGTCTTGAGCGGGATTCAAACCCACGACCTTTGGCTCTATAAGCTCGTTACTTGAACTATCGTGATTTTGTGTCTGAGTGGATTGAAGTCATGATAGCTCAAGTGGTCAGAGCAGTGGTGTATTGAACCCTAGATTGTGGGTTCGAATCCCACTCGTATCTCTAACTTTTCCATTTCAACCAAGACCTTACATTCAAAGAATAATTAATTCAAATTAATATTCTGTTTTTGCTATTATTTATATGAGATGAATATTTGTGTTTAATAGGCATTATTTGCCTGTCTATGTGAAAATAAATAAACATATACATATAAAACATATTTTTCACAAATTTGTTTTAAAAAAATCGTTAATTGACGGTTTTCTGGATACAGATTGGTCTGTAATTCCTAATATTGGGGTAAATTAAGATTACTTTTAGGAAGTAAATGCTGCCTAATGATTGTTTAATGCTACTTCTATTAAAGTGGTTTGCATTGCGAAATTGTCGATTGAATCAAGATTTAGAAAAATGAAAATTATGCAAGACAGCAGATGACGCATTGATCAAGTGCGGCGGGAGACAGTATTGCATTTTGCAGTTTGTCGTTGTGCGCAGGCCGGAAGAGCGCGACACTGGCGCCTCGCCTCTTTTGAGTCAAACACGCATCGAAAAGGACAAAAAAGTCCAACCAAATTCCCCCGTTTTCGCTTTCCTTGTCGGCCCCTTTCTCCGAGCTCGTATCGCCCGTTCACCGGGATGAACCAGTAGAGGCGCACCACCTGAAACCCCTTGAAAAGAGGCTCAGACGGCATCGGCAGTCAGGTGCACGCACGTAGACACTGGAAACGTGTGCACTGTGCGCCTCGCGCTCCGCGAAACCCGATCTGCCAAGGTTTCACCGAGTGGGCCGCTTCTCATCTCAACCCCTGTCTCCTTTCCACACCGCTCACTCGCGTTTCTGCCCTGTGAGGAGCCTCGAGCGGATCCTCGACCATGGCGAGAGGTCACCAGAAGATCCAATCCCAAGCCAAGGCGGCCGAGCGGGCGGCCAAAGCCAAGAAGCAGCAGGGCCACAACGCCAACTCACAGAAAAAGGCAGCACAGAAGGCTCTCGTCTTCGCCTGTGCTATCTGCAAGGTAATACGTTTCGCTTATTCACGAAATAAACATAAAACGTCAGACAGTTCAATCATTTATTCAAGGTAAAAAGGACGGGAAAGTTTTACAACTGATGACCCGTCCAAAAGAGAAAGCCATTTCTCCTCTTTACAAACGTCTGGCATAGTAAAAGTTCTATTTATTGATTACTCGATAATTCATCCCCAGAAAACAGCCAAAGACAAGGAGGTCGACCAATTTTTAACGATGACAACCCTAAAACCATCATCTCCTGGCCTCAACATGACAAGTTAAGGAAAAAAATCCATTTTATGTGTGTTTTTGGATATTTTGCGGAAAAAATTGAAGTTTTGTGGCTGATTCTACCAAAAACACAAGTGTAAACACTTGTCACAAAATTGCACTCAAGTTTGCCCCTAAAACATCCTAAATACCGAAAATTCAAGGGGTTTAATTAAATAAATGCTATGGTTTTTGACAAAGTGTGCCTAAAATGTTTTCAGTGATTTTTCTAAGCTCATGTTTTTGCTGACTTGTCAAGGAAGTACCAACGGCAAACGCTTGTTACAATATATCGGTTGATTTTGTATCAAAGAAAGCACAAGAAGTGCTTTAGATTTTGCTAAATGATTATAATCTGAAAATGTTCAGTGATACTCTCAGCTAACAGATTATAGATGTGCCTGTAAAGTCAATGATAAATTTTCCCTGAAAAAGAAATTATAGTAAAAATCACAACTGCAAACAGAGAAAACTGCAAAGAATTGAGAAAGTACCAAAATAAATTTAAGTCTGCCCCAAAAACTCTCTTAAATACTAAAGAAATGCTTTGATTTTGCCAAAGCTGAAGCCTGAAAATCTTCATAGAAATTTTCTGGTTTTTGCTGACGTCAAGAAAGTACCACCAAAATTTCAGTTGATGTGTGTTTTAACTCAAATTAGACTCATTTGATATTAATTTTGCATGTTTTGACAGTAATAATTCATATTATCAATGGCAGCATAAATATTTGATATAATATTTTTTGTTTAGAAAAAGAAATTGTGAATTTTGTGCCCCATTGTTTTATCCATTCTAACAAAAATCACAACTGCAAACACTTCTCACAAAATAAAATCTAAAAACTAACATGCGCAGATGTGCCTGCCTGTGGAGGTCAATGACAAATTTACACTGACACGGAAATTTCCTGGTTTTGCTGACTTGTCAAGAAAATACCAACGGCAAACACTTCTCACAAAATGGGAGGCAATTTTGCCCCACCATATAAAAAATAAATTCATTATTTATCCATTCCAACAAAAATTACAAACTGCAAACACATAAGCAGTCAGTTTTGCTCCCTCTCATAAAAAATAAAATAAATAATAATAATAAAAAATAAAATCTAAAGTTTTGAATTTTGCCAAAGCTGAATCCTTAAAATTTTTGTTGATGTTTTCAGGTAACATATAGATGTTTCAGTACAAGCTAGGATATTTTTACACTGAAATAGACATTTCCTGGATTTTGTTGATTTATTGAGAAAGTAACACTAGAAATTTAAATGGACACTTTTTTCAACTCAAATTCAGACTCATTTGATGCTTTAATTGTATTAGGTTTTACAAAAACAATTAATAAATTCTTAAAAAATGTTTTAGATTTTTGTAATAGCTGGTGCCTGAAAGTTTTTAGTTATACTTTCAAGTAACAGGTTATCGATGTGCCTGTTTAGGACTCATTTACACTAAAATATAATATTTTGCTTTTGATGGCTTGTCAAGACAGGCATGATGTAAACGTTTATTACAAAATAATAGCTTTTACAAAATCTGAAGAAATGTTTTAGATTTTGCCAAAACTGAAGCCTGAAAGTTTTCACATGTCTACAGTCAATGAATTTACCCTGAAATAGTGTCCTGCTTTTGTTGATTGATCAAGTACCGAATTTTTCTGTTTCCTATAGAAATTTAATTTGGCGCTTGTTTGAACTCAAATTTAGATTATTTACATTTTTGTATCTGTGAGTTTTTACAATAAATATTTTGTCAGTATTATATGTTTTGAGTGAAGGCATGGCGGTGTTTTGCTTAATAATTAATCCTTTATTTATTTTTTTAAACTGTTCTGCCAGTTTTTATTTTTTTGAAATCTTTCGGACCAACACACACACATCCTCCTCAGTCTCTGGAAAGAGATATTGAATTTTTTGGCTTGTTTATCTGTTCTACCTAACATCACAATCTTCCCTGGACTCTGAGATTAAGGAATCTCCAGTGAGCTTAGAGGAGGTGTCAATGGTGACTAGACACCAACCCCTCCTTGATAAATCCCTTTGCATAATAGAAAGATTAAAAGCATTAGTTGCGAGAGATTTGTGGGGTTTTGTTCTTTCCAGGCCTGGGTTTGCACTGCTGACTTGTATAGACTTAAGGCTTAATGACTAATAAGGTCACAGACTTTAAAAAAAAATCAAATTTTTGTCGCATTTTGACCATGATTTTAACAAACATGGGGCCTGTCAATTTTCAGTGCCTGCTTAGGTCAATATCATTTATAACTGAAATAGGTGCTTTCCTGACCACAGGAATTTTCAAAAACAACCACAATTTATTGTTAATTTATACATTAATTTACAATAAAAATTCGAATTGTCACAAGTCAAGTGAAGAATAAAGCTTCGTTTTAAGGCAATATTCAAAGGCCAGGAGATTTTTAGACAATGACAACAATATAGCAATAATATCTTTGTCTCTTTTGAACATTGTTTAGCTATAAATTATTAATTTCATGTCCAATTGTTTACTAATTTTATCAAAAACACAACTGCCAACACATGTCACACAACAAAGTTAATTTTATCGCAAAAAAATTGATAAAAGCTTAAATACTAATTTACGATTTTTTATTTTCCCAAGGCTGAAGTCTAAAACATTGTAAATACTTTAAGTTTTTAAGATGTGTGACGTAAAATACATTTATAAACTAGATTTGTACCTGGATGGGAATTTTAAAATTGATCTGGAAGGGTTTTATTTTACAATGAGTTATTTTTACAATTAACCCTTAGTTAATTTTGAAAAATCTACTTTAGTTTTGATTCTACAATTTTTAATTTGTTGTAAAAAAATAAATTTATTTATACAACAAAACTTTTGGTAAAGGATTGCTGTTCTTAATGAATCAATGGGATTTTAAACCTGATACAGAAATACAGTTTTTTGAGTGGCTTGGAAATTTGAATCAGTTTTCATTCCTCTCCCCTTTATTATAATTGATGGGGCACTACAAAAAATTTCATCAGGATATTTTCATAAGCTTTGTTTGGTTTGGTTTTGGACAAAAAGTCAAATTAAGTAATTACATGTTTTTTGCCATCTTAACCAAAACCTATTTTATTAATTAAATTATAATTCTCTGTTATTATTATTTTTTATAATAATCATATTTTTTAATTAATTATTAATTAATATTATGCAAAGTGTTGACTCGAGGACTCGAACCAGGACATCTGACCCTTTTCAACAAAGTTTACTTCTAATTGATGAGATAATTTTTACTATTTCCATTGTATTTTCATCTTAAGAGTGAGAAAACAACTTCTAAAGCATTTCTGAATATTAATTCAGTAAAAAAGTGCTGTAATAAAATTTTGATTTGAAATTTAACCTGATATGGAAATATGTTTTTATTCTCTGTTTGCAAAAACGTGATGTCTGGGCAGTTTAATTATCAATTTTCTGTCCATTTATCAGTTTTCCTGTTGATATGGGATCATTGAAATAAAAGTACATTCTCTCAGTAGTTTGGTGGTATAAAAATGATACTAGGCTAATCAATTTAATTTTGTTAAGAGGGAAAATAAAATGCACTTTAAAAACACTAATAGATTAAAAAATTTGCAGTTATTTGAGAAGTATTGCTTAAAAATAGATAATATAATACAAAAGTAAAATTGTTAAATTAATAAAAAAGGAATGACAGTAAGGTCAGTAATCTTTTGAACAAGAAATTAAAATATTGTGTATTCCCTGACAAAAAAGCCAATTAAAATAAATTGTTTTCTAATATATTAGTATGTATGTAAAGAGATTGGACTTGATTTGAATTTTAAAAAAAGTAAAGTTTTTAAAAATCTAAAAATTGTACAAAGTGTAAAAATATATTTAAAATCCAATCTAACAGGGGTTTGTTTCATATTATAGAGAAAAAAAATTAAATTAAACTCTTGCATTATGGCTTGTAACTGTTGCATTCATTAGCAGTATTAAGAAATGCAGGAAAGTTGCACAAGGATAGTTGAGCGAAGGATTTGCCCCCTGGTGAAAGTACCATCCGACCTGTCGGGCTTTCACTCTCTTTTGCTTTTTCCACAAATGTTTTGAGGAAAAAGGGAAAAAACACATTTTCTATTTTTATTCTTAATAATGATTTAATCATCTATTTTTTTTTCTTGTTAGTGTTTTTGGTGTGTGAACTTGATTTATTTGTACAAATCAATTAAATTTTGTTAGGACAGTTTAAAATTTTACAATGGATATTAATGATTGTATCTATGGTCAGTTCATATTTGATCTAGCTATCTATGTAATTAAAAAATGGAGATAATTTTAATCTTAACAGACCCGAAGTTCAGTCTGAACTAAGTTAACAATTGCATAATAAGCTGAAAAACTTTTAAAAATTAATTAACTAAAAATGATTAACTAATCAAAAGGTGCGACAAATGTGAGATAGTTTGTGGCCTGTAAGGTGAACAGCTTGATTTGCTCTGTTTCTGTCACAAACCCACTATAACATGGTGAAATGACAACTTGAGAATAAACAGTGAAGCTACAAATAATAAAATACTTTTCAAGGATAGTCAGTTATGATGAGGTGGAATCGACATCCATGCCCGTATCGGACTGATTGTGATACAGAATCAATGACTGCATTGACGTTCCATTGACGAAGTTCTTCTGAAAACTGTGGTCTCATGGCTCCATTTATTGGGGAAGACTTCGTATTAATGCATGATAATGCTCGATTGCACGTAGCTCGAGTTGTCATGCATTACTTGGAGGATGTAGGGATTACATAGCAAATTTGCCAGCCTGTTCAGACATGAATCTTGTAAAATACTTATGGGACATGATAAATAGATGGGTTAATGGACAAGCATTAAAACAGCTTCAATCTGCTCTTGTTGAAGAATGGGGTTCTGTTTCACAAAAGAAATCTGTTTGTTTATTTTCTGAATGTCTAGGGTGTTAAGGCCCCTGCGAGACAAGAGGTCTAGTAGAACCTACCACTAAACAATTTTCTGGTGTTTTGGTGAATTTTCTTTCAAACCATCATAATTAAATCATTTTTATTAAAACACACGAATTTATGATCTCGTTTAATTTGGTTTACATTAAAGTTAGTAATTGTTATAATTCATATAACGATAAAAATATATACTATTTGAAATAAACAACAAAATGTTGTTGAGTGTCCATTTTTGTCTTTGATTTTTTATTTTGTAGGTTTTATTCTCTGAGTTTTCTAACAAAGTTCTATCGATATATTTGTTTGACTTATTTCAGGCCCAGATGCCAGATCCAAAGACGTATAAACAGCATTTTGAGAACAAGCACCCAAAGAACCCGATACCGAAGGAGCTGGAAGAAGCCGAGGCGATGGCATGACTCTTCTTGCCAGTCAGAAATATTTCTCTAAACTTAAAAACTCACTTCATTAACAAAATTTTAAATACCCTTGTTCCTAACATACAGAACAGTTTATGACCCTCAATTAAACACTAGGAAATTGTTTTTGTTCTTTCAAAATAAAAGAAAAATAACTTTAACGTCTTGTTCATTTAAATTAATGTTTATTAAAGAGAAAACATTCAACGTTTTCCTTTGATGTATGCGGATATTACTTGAGAAGTGACGGTGTGCCTTTTTAATCCTGACTTTGTTCAAAATTGTTTTGATGACATCCTTGGCTTAAAAGTCAGATGGATTTTTTTTTGTTTGTCGTTTTAACTTTCACTTTTTATGCGGTCACAAGCCCATACAGTTGAAAATTTTGATTTCTTTTTGACAGTTATTATGTATATTTGCGCACAGTCGTGTACCTAAAAAAATGATATGAGTAAAGAGTAGATATTACTTTGAAAAGAGCATTTAGACTTTTTATACTATTTATGAATTTTTGTATGATAATTTAAAAAAGAAATGATGTTGCAAATTAGAAAATTTTAAAAACATATTTTGTACATTTTTATAAACTTTATTTTGGCTTGAAGTTTTGGTAATTTACGATAATATAAATTTCTTTCTCTTTTTTTTTTTTTTTTTCATGTTATCACAAGTTATAAATTGAAATCAGGTTAATGTACTTTTTGATTGTTTGTTGTGATTTGTTAATGTTTTTAATAAAAAAGAAGAAAAAAAAAGAAATTATTAGGCATAGACTTAGAGCCTCATGTAAACTATTATAAATATATATATATATATTAAAAAAACACAGAAAGTACACATTGCAAAGGCCTATAAATGATAGAATATAATAGAAAGAAAATAAATTAAAAACCTTTGACATACCATGGCTTGGTTTATTATGTAAATACCCCAAAAATGTAAATTATTTCGTTTCCTAAAGAATATATATGAAATAAATATGCGCTATAAATAAAAAAAAAATTGTTTATATCCCTCTTAACCCTATATTTGGTGAAATTTTTGACAACTTGCAGTTTTACTTATTGTCACTTAATGAAAAGACGATTATGCACTGCATCGGTAAGAAAACTTTTAAAAGTCAATTGCCTTTTTCTTTCAGATTGGATGAATTCGAATGAATACTTTTAGTTATTGTAAAAAGCTAATTGCCCAAAAGAAAATTCTTTGTCCTATAATTTAAATAATGAATTGTATTATTTGCCATAATGTTGAAAAATGTTAGTAGATTTAATAATAATTATTCTCTCACATTACTTTTATGCGATTTCTTTATGTTGTCTGTAAAATGATGAACCTGCAATTTGGTCGTTAATAATCATTTTGGTCTGTCTATCCTAGTTTTTGTCTTTGTTTGATTATTAAGATTTTAGTTAAAAGCCACCATTAACAAATATAAATGTGTCATTTGGTTGGTATCGATCATCCTGTCCTGTCTACTGTGTCGGTGTTTCAGATGCGTTTCAATATTTCGCCATCTTTGGTGTGTCTCCAGACCAACCCAGTAAGTATATGCAGACCAAAATGATCAGTAATGACCAAATTTCAGTTCATTTTGAACTGGCACATGGTTCAACATGAGTTCACCGACTCGCAGACCAAAACCCATCTTCTACCAAATTTCAGTTACTTTCATGGATATTTTGACTATTAGACATTCCATTAAAATATGGATTTGAATTATAGGTTTATGAACTTGTTACACGTGTCTAAAGGCTAGTGGGAAAAATTGTGAGTTTAGGTACTAGTATTTTTACCTGCTTATTGGCAATATTTTTTTTTTTTTTTTTTTTTTTTTATGAAGGCAAATGATTCCTAATTTTTTGTGAATCTTCATGTCCTAAACATTCTATACAAATTATCAGTTCCCCAAGTTTCTTTAATGCGGGTGAATGGTGTTTTCTTACATTACCTGTAAGCAAAAACGACCCAACCACTTGGATTCCCTGCAAGAATTGGAAAAATAGTCTCGTTTATATCTTTTTCTTCATCTCAGAAAATTTGTAGAGAAAAGAAACAAACATTCTAATCAATTTTTCGCATAGTGGGCCAGAAAGGGTTGTGTTGTGTACAACTGGGAACTTTAAATGGATACATCACATTATTTCAAAAACTGGGTTGTGGGCTTTAAAAAGGGCTTAGAAAAATATGAATTTTAATGTGTGGTGATTAGTGACCGTTAATCGATATTTATTTAGAAATCGTGAGATGCGGCCTGGTGTGATGTAGGTTTCAAAAAAACATTTTCTTTATCGTTTAAGTGAATTTATACAATGCAAAATATATTTTTTTATATATTCAATCAAAGTATTTCTACTCATTCACTTTTCCACATCCAAAATGTAATTGTAATATATAAACAATGTTTGTAAATCCCAGGCCCTGAAGATGATCTCAATAAAGATCGAAACGTTGGCACGATAAAGAAAATGTTTTTCTGAAACCTACATCACACCAGACTGCATCTCACGATTTCTACATAAATATGAATTGTAACGTGAACCCCATAAATATTCATAATTATGGTTAGTTATGTTGTAGTTAATTATATTCCATTGATTGGTCCTTATTATTTACATTCACTGTGTCCTTTTTCCTTCAAGCTTTTCAGAATTTTTTCAATCATTTAATTTCTTTCCTTAACTATTTTTTGTCTCAATTCTCTTACCACTTGGCTATATGTCTAATTTAAAAAAGTTATAAGTACTTTTTCTTCTATATTACCTTTTTTTTTTAATTTGCTCTAATGTCTTTCAGGTTATTTAGTCTCCATTTATTTTTACTTTCATATCTTCTTTTACTTTTTTTAAATTTTATTTATTTTTTATTTTTTGCAAGCAGCGATGTATCAAGATGAACTGTATTTTATTACTCTCGTAAAATATCATATGTAATTTTCTTGCAGGTTTTGGTAAAGACTAAAGATCACAATTAAAGGTTAAATAAAAAACACATATTTGCATGAAACTATGTATTTATGGACAATACACTGTATAAAACCGACTATTTTAATTTAAAATACAAAAACAAAAACAAAAGTTTGCCTGGACCACAAATTACACATCTTAAAAATCAATTTAAAATAGTAGTTTGCGAGTCTTTCATGTTTTTGTTTTCTAAAATATAAATGAAATAGAGAAGAAAAGTATTAAACAGAAGATAGAATATACAATATAAATTTACAATAAATTAAACTGAGCACACATTCCTTGTTCATTCCACCTTTGAAGGCTGTCGTACGGTTGAAGCCTCCCTCATCCTCAGATCACAGTACAAAAAACAAAATTAATAAAGATAATAATGGCTTAAATCTGGTAATAAAAATTATAGTAGTAAACATTGCCGTCGTTATGTGGCTAGTCCTTCGATCTTATGCCGGTTGTTTTTGAAGTCGGGCATCAAATGGAGAAGTAACCACATAGCAATGATGATTGAATTTCCAAAACATTTAAACGTGACAAAATCTACTTTCTGCTCTATGACCGTTACTAAATTTTCATCTCTTTTGTTCAATTTTTATCTTTTATAAAAATTAATATACAATAGGAGTCAATAATTTACAAGCGTATCACAGGAAACTAAAAATTTTCTAATTTGTTTTAATTTTTTTTTTTCAAAAAGCACGTTTAAACATCCTCTTTTTACCAATGGGGAGACCCCAAGATGTTAACATTGTTATACTTAAATTACATAAAAAAAAAGATAAGAGCTTGACAGCTCATTCATTCTTTCTTTCTTTATAAATTTCTTTAAAAAAAAAACAACCGGAATAAATAATGGCTTGTATGGCTGAGTGGTTTTCCCTTTCTGCTTCAAGTCTTTACTCCTGTATTATTTCGTTGTCCACCTTGCTGTTCCTCACTCCGGATTTGCCAGTCCAAGGGTACACTTCGGGACAAGGCTGGCAAGTCCTCATGTACCTGACTCCAGATTTGTGCCAGAGATTGCAAACCTTCGGGTTGTTACATTTTTTTGGCCTGTCCTGAAGACAAAATAAAACAAGTTTAAACAAAGTACAACCAACAATAGACCGGAAAAAATGTTAACTTACTGGATAATTGCATTGGAACGGTGCAAAGTTGTTCAACCTTGAAATTGGTGTTGGATCTCTAATCCATTGGATTGCTTGCCAATTGGTCACTAGCCATACTTCAGGCATTTTATTGATGGTGTCGAGGAAAGAAATAAAGCCTTCTTTGTGGTGTGGATGTGTAAACCATGCAGCATGGTAGAACAAGCCAAAAGGAGCCCTACATAAACAAAAAATATTTAGACCATTTTTGTCTTTATGCTTCTCCTTCTGCATTACCTGTTGGTCGAAAAATGTCTTTCGAAGTTTTTGATGAGCATTTTGTAAACACCTTCAGCATTCGGCGGGTTCGAGCAGGCGTCTCCCATCGAGCACCTTCCTCCGTTAAGATCCTGCCACATGACCATAGGGACTTCCCACACTCCTGTAACATAACAAAAATACATTTAAAATAATCAATTTATAAATTATATTGATTATTTTTTTACCAGGATAAGATCTTGATGGACAAGGGGGAATCATGCAATCATGGAAAATCTTGTAATCGAGAGTGTATGGCCAGGATGGAGGCCTGTTTTCATAAACTGGCATCGAAGAGTCATAAGTGAAGTTGGAATCAAACAACATTTTAAACATTTTGTTTCCACCGACCTATATAAAAAATAAATTAATTAAAAACAATAGAGTTGATACAAATAAATGTTTAAAATTATTTTGATATTTACAGCCAAGAAAGGTGCTCTCATTCCTCGGACATCCTCAAGTTTAACACCTCCATAAGCAGCAAGGATTTCCCTTTGACCAGCTATTTCTTTAGTCCATTTCTTCTGGGAGAACTGTTCACCAAAACTGTGCCTATAAGAACGATTTTTAACTTGAGCTAAATTCTGTAAATAGCAAAACAAAGGAGAAGAGCATTGAAAAGAACATACGAAATGGAATGCGAAGCCATTTCGTGTCCAGCGGCATACAAGTTTTGAACTTGGCTATAGTCGGTCCATTCGTGAGATACGTAAAATGTGGCAGAGATAGGACAGCCGTTGGGATTAACACGACCCTTTTCAAAAAGATCGGAGTAAAGACCCTTGTTCAAATCGTTTACAGAATCATCAAATGTGAGTAGGACAATCTGTGGAGTCTCTTCTGGGGAGAGATTACCTAGAACAAATACATCACTTCAGATTAGTTAAAAAAATTTGACTTAATGAAAGGTTTTCTAAAGTTTTTCATAATTTATATGTTTTTTAGGCAATTTGTTTTTTGGGTGGGATTTGTAGCATTAACTTACTAAAAGCAAATTATTATTAAGGTAGAAGATTTTAAATTGGAAATTTTACCGCGAGTAGGTTTTAATAAAGTGAATTTTTAAAATAATTTTACCAGGGATATCTTTTCCTCCGCAGCTGCAGTCAGGTAGCAAACAAACATCTTTTCTACATTTAGCAGCAGTTTTGTCAACTTGTGGTGTAGGAAAGACGTTAGATGGCCTGAAAAACAAAGTAACATTTATAGTATATTTTGTTAGAATATTTAATGATTATTCGGAAATCGTGAGATGCGGTGGGCACTCTCAACACGACACACAAGAATGGCACAATTACGAAGAAAACTAACACTTTGAGCCCTGAAGATGATCTCAATAAAGATCGAAACGTAGGCACGATAAAGAAAACATTTTTCTGAAACCTACATCACACCAGACTGCATTTCACGATTTCCGAATAATCATTGACTAACGGTTACTAATTACCACACATTAATATTTAATTATAAACCACGGTGGCTGAGTGGTTAGGTCGTCCAATTAGTATGCCATGCTAGCGCTTTGAATCCCAGCATACCCATGGATTTTTAATTGTGAAACTATGGAGAAAGTATTGCAAAGTGGTTCGGCCCCTCGTCTACGACCCATTGAGAAGTTGGACATCAAACCCTCCTTATGATAGGAATTACTTTATTTTTGCTCTTTAAATATGCAACAAGCCAAAATGTCGAAATTAGTATATTGAATGAATGTGGAATGCACAAAAGGGCATGTAAGGCAGGAACGGTGTGCATCCAGTGATGAGAGCTGTTAGTTCACCAACTGTCGCTTCAGCCTCCGATGAGGATTGGCAGGTAAGGTTGTGGATTATAATTCGCAGATTAAGGAGTTTGAATGAACAGGTTAATTTAGAACGAAAATGTTTGAAACGTAATTGAGCATGATGAGGTAAGAATGGGATTTTTAAGTCTGTATGAATTGTATGTTACAGACATAGAAGGAGCATTAACTATTTATCGTTCACAGAATTTTAGATTGTAGGGTTTAGATTGGAACGCTTAGCGTTTCAAGTTTGTATGACCATAGGGGGGCTAACAGGGTAGAGAATATATATTTTTGTTTGTTTCTAAGTATTGATCTCTTGTCAAGTAGTAATAGTTAATTTTTTTTTTTTAAATTTACCTGTGTGGTGGGTATCTGTAGATGTCGACATACTCAGAGGCTTTTCCGACGACAGTTGTTGATGGTTTCAATGTGGGCCTTCCCCTGCTATTTTAACACAACATTAGTATTTCTATTTTTTAAAGATTTTAAATATCTAGGATTGTGATCTTACGATGCAGGAGTTCCTCTGTTTAGAGGCTCGGCTTCATTTGGTGAAAGCGTGTATGTGTGGCTTCCTCTATGTCTAGAATTTCCTCTGCAACAAAAGACAATTCCCTTGTCGGTAAGAATTTACTTAGAAGAATGTACTTGCCCAAAATTGTATAGTGCATTATAAAAATAAATTGAAAGGAGATTCCCTCATGCAAGATTGCCATAGTTTGAGAAAAGGTGTAGATTGTTAAAGGGTGCTAATTTTAGTCATATATTGCAATTAATTCACAATTAGTTTTGTATTAGTCAGCCACAAGCGTTATTTGGGGCCAAGTGAGTCCTAATGTCGGCCTCTTAAATGTACTTAAGAGAAGTACTGTTGTACCGACCTAAATACCGGTTGGATGCCATGCAAAACGCTCTTTCAAAAGCGTGATGGTTTATGAACATGTGAGCTCTAGAATAAAATGATTTCCCTACCTGGTTAAACCAGGGGTAGACTGGGTGTCAATTGTCGTTGGTCGCACCCTGTTTTAAAAACCAAAAATTATTATCCACTGGATCCTATAAGACTTCTACACAAAATAGTGTCTGTACAAAATTTTTCCATACCTTACAGTTTTTTCCGGGTCAGTTTTCAAGAGAGGGATAGGAGTGTCAAGGGTCTTTCGGAGTTGGTCAGTGTACATGCGTGGCGGTAGTGAAGTAGACTCTAAATTACTGCTTTGTGAAGATGGGATAATGGGACTTGGTCTGGTGACCTCTTCATTTAGGGAAGGTTCATTTGAAATAGTGTTGTTGTAGCTTAGATATTTTTTAGGTGGCTTTGTATCAATTGTGTACGGGGATCGTCGGGTGGTGATTGTATCATCTAGGTCCACTACTATTCTAAATCCTGAGTTCCTATTTGGTAATACTCTAGTTTGTTTCTGTGCTTCGATTTGTGATCGAATTCGTGATGAAGCTTTTTTAGTTTGATAATAGTAGTTTTGATTTTCCCTTGGGGATTCTTGAGGAGTTGGTCTTTTTTGGTCGTAACTTACTTGTTCTGATCTCAGTCTGTTTTGTTCATTCATTGCTTGTTGCTCTGCAAATAATTTCCTTCTAATTTCTTCATTTCGTTTGATAATAGCTTCTTCTTCCTCTTTGAGTTTAATCTGTTCTAGTTCTCTTCTTCTTGTTTCCATTCTTAATTTTTCAGCTTCTTCTATCTCTTTTCTCCTATTCTCTTCAGTCTCTTTCCGTTGTTTCTCTAGAAGCTCTTTTCTCCGTTTCTCTTCAAGTTCTTTTCTTCTCAATTCTTCAAGTTCTTTTTTTCTCGCTTCTGCCCTAGCTTTTTCAGCTTCCTCGATTTCTTTTCTCTTTCTCTCTTCAAATGCTTTTCTCCTCGCCTCTTCAATTTCCTTTCTTCTTTTCTCTTCTAATTCTTTCCTTCTCAATGCTTCCAGTTCCTTCCTTCGATCTTCAGCCTTAATTCTTTCAGCTTCTTCTATTTCTTTTCTCTGTTTTTCTTCAAGCTCTTTCCTTCTTATTTCTTCCATTTCTTTTTGTCTTTTTTCTTCGAGTTCTTTCTTTGCAGCTTCTTCTTTTCTTTTCCTTTCTTCAATTTCCTTCTTTCTCTTCTCCACAATTTCTCTAAGTCTGGCTTCTTCTTTAGCCTTTCTTTGTGCCTCAATTTCCTTCCTTCTTGCTAATTCTGCTAATTGCCTTTCTTTCTCTTCTTTTGCTTTCTTTTCTTGTTCAGCTTCATACTGTTGGTTTTTAAGTTGTTTTCGTCTCAGTTCCTCTGCAGCTTCCCTTTCTGCTTCTTCAATTTGCCTTATTCGAGCTTGTTCATAAGCTTGTCTCCTTGCATTTTCTCTCTTTGCTTCTTCCAATTGATGTCTCCTCAACTCCTCAGCTTTCTCTCCTCTTTCTTTAGCCAGTTTCTGCTCATCATAGTTCGAACCTCTCCTTGTTTCAGGAGATTTGTTTTCTCCTTGTTGTTCCAGCTCCAGCGGGATTTGAGTGAAGTCTTCCAATTCATATACAGACTCTTGGAAGCGATACGAACCTCTCCTATCATTTTGTGACTTTTGGGACTCAACATTTCTTTCCTTTTGATCTGGAAATCTAATCGAAGAAGGCCTTCTTTGTCTAAATTCTTCTTCACTTCTCAAAGGTGGTTTACTTTCTGGAAATTTTATGGTTGGCACTCTTTTCTCATCACCCCCTTGAAGCCATTCCAATGATTCAAAGGCTCGGATCGGCTGTGGTTTTGCGGTTACTTCTTTCCTCTGATATTTATTCAAGTCAATAGCTGATTCCGGAATTCTTATAGCAATCGGTCTTTTTGTTTCCTCCTTCCTCGGAATGTTAACCCTAGGTTTAGGTGTAATGTCTATAGTCAAAAATTCATGTTTTGGTTCAGGTTCTTTTACAATAAAATGTCCTCTAGTTTGTAAGCTCACTGGTGGGTCTTCAATTAATTTAAAGGGTCTCGGGGTGTTGGCAGTCTTTAATTGAATTACAAAACTGTCTTGTACAAGTCTCTCAGTTCTAGGCCCTTCAGGACTGTTTAGCATTTCAATTTTTGGCGTTACAGTCTCAGTCTTTGAATTGGATTCCTGCTGAGCTAACCCGGGTGACACTGTGCTTACAACGCTCTTGGTCCCATCTGATTCACTCTCCTTTACCCCAGATCTGTATGGCAATTATTTACATAGAATGGGAATTTGTTTAAGATATCTACATTTTGAAAGACAATTAAAGGATTTTAGTAGTCAAAGTAAAAAATTGGTGAACCAATTTTTTAATGATGGAGTAATTTTTGTCTTAATTGACAAATAATTATGATATTACCTTTTAATTATTATTTTAAATCGAGTCATAATGTTTTGATAGATGCCAATGAAATGAAAATAAACAGATGCAATTAAAAATGGATTAACAGAACGAATTTGAAGGAGCATCCTTTAAATGTCTTTGTATTTAAATTTTAAACAGCTCATAAATTTGTCTTCTAAAAATATTTATAATGAAGCCGACAGTAGGCTACAAAGCCGTCAATTCTACGATATCCAAATACCTGACATGCCGGTGTGTTTATAACACCTTTAGTATACAAGGAAAAATGAATGTACAGTGTGAGTCTATTCAGTGACACAGTGCACAAGTTTTCTTTATTAGTCTATCTTTTGTTTCAGAGGATTAAAATTAAATATAAATATAGGCAAAAGAAAAGACAGAATTATTGTACAGTCATATTTACCTGTTGGAAGGTTTCTGTTGAATTTGTTGCTTGTAAGGGATGTCGTCGTTGGTCTGAAATTATGTACAACAGTAAATACACACAAGTTTTCAACTCAACAAGTCTCGTTATACCTGAATGCTATAAGAATCGTATTCTTGCGGAGTGACGGATTGGTAAATATCGGACTGAGTGTTGTATTTGTTTTTGGAGTAGCCTCTTTGTAAAGGCTCTTGCTGGACTATTTCAATTTGAGGCTTCTTTTCCTTGTACTGTGTACGGTATTGATTTTGATTGTTGGTGTATTGGTAATCGCCTGTAAAGTTTTAGGTGTTATTAAGGCTGATGATTTTTTTTTACACAACATATATTAAATAATTAACTGAGGTTGCTTTTTCACTAATAAGAAAGTGATGTAGAATTTCTATGCAATTGTTTTTATTTAAAATAAAATCACAATCAACAGGAGGTGTGTTAAGCTGTAGGTGTAATTTGACAAAAGTTTGAACTGCAAGTAATAAATATGAATATTCATTTTGTTTTACACATTTTTTATTGCTCCCCAAGACAGAGAATAATAACCACTTGGACTACAATAAAATATAGTAGGTTTTTTTTGTCATACATCAACATGGATCTCATATTTAATTTAGCATATGCCAAAAATATCATAATTAATGAACTAAGTCTGCAAAAAATGAGGATATGACAAAAAAGCAGATAAGATCAAAGAGTCAATTCATCATTCTTATCGAGTTCTGAAGAACAAAAAATGAAACAAAAACAAATAAAAACAAAACAAGCTGAGTTAGAGGTCGATTAATTATATTAAATAGTTGTCTTTAAATAAAGTCTAATGGGTGTTCATACTATATCAATTAATTATACGTTTTATCTAAAGTCTTGGTTGAGATGAAAAAGTTAGTGTCACGAGCAGGATTTGAACCCACGACCTTGGGCTCAATATACAACTGCTCTTGAAGGAAGTCATGAGAGCCAAGTGGTTAGAGAAGCCAAGATTTTAGATAAAAAGTATAATTAATTGAAACAATTAAATAGGTCATTTATGACTGCTAAACGTACATGGGTTCATACTATAGTTGAGAAAATTGAAACTATATAGCTTTTAAATGGAAACAATTTGGTTTGCTTTTTATTGCCATAACTGTTTATATTATAGGTTATTGTTTTTGTGTGGATTTTAAACTTAAAAAATTAATTTTACCATTTCCAATTTCTTTGTAGAGATCGACTTCATCATCGTAAAGATTATAGAAGGGCGAGTCATATTGTGATGGCACATATCTTGACTGAGAATAGTTCCTAGAGGGAACCGGTGTCTGCTGTTCGACGTAGGTCTGTTGAGGAGTGACACTTGCTCTAGACAAATTCATAAACAAATTAGATTATGGGAATCCTGTTTAATTATTCCCAAAAATATTCGTCTCGTTTAATGTTGTTCTGTACAAGTTCCTTAGATTTCCAGGTCATATTGCTTACCTTAATCTGGTTAGGGCTCTTTGTGTGTGTCCTTTATCGTGGTACCCTTTTGTTACAAGACTAAGGTCAATGTCTCCAGACTTGTTTCTGTTCTGTCTCTGTCTCTGTTTTTTCTGCACGGCCGGATTTATTTGGGTAGAAGACGGATAGGAGGGTGTCATGTAGTTTGAAGGTTTGGTTCTTTCTGTGATAGGTTTTATGTTTTGTGATGGTGTCTTTTCGGTTGTTGTTGTAGTCGTGCTTCTGTAACGCGTCCTAGGCGTGGTCGTTTTCTTTGTAAGACTGCTGCCAGGCGTCTGGCATTTATTTCTACCGCGATTAGTGCATTTTGGCACGAGGCGAGCCGTGGTATACAAGGCATATTTTGGTGTAGTCGGGTCCAGATACAATTTCGTCTTTTCAGTCATGCTACTGTCCGTTTCTAAAACGGTGACGGGTCTATCGCTCTGTTCTTCCTGAGATTCTTCAGCTTCTTCCCCTTCTTCGCTTTCATTACTGCCCTCGTCGTAATATTCTTCACTGTCTCCTTCGTAATCGCTACTTCCTTCATCATCATCTTCGTTATTGTCCTTATCATCTAAATGCTGCAATCTTTTTGGCACTTTGGGAGCTTTAGGCGGGTTTATATAAGTCTTATTGGTTATATCGTAATCATCGTAATCGTCGTAGTATTCATCTTCGTACTCTTCACTTCCTTTGTTTAAAGTAGCTTTGGTCGAAGAGGGTGCAGTCGTCGTCGTAATCGAGCCGACCGGTCGGTACATATTGCTGATTTGAACACCCTTCGATGGAATTAAATTTGGCTCCATGTAATAATGAGGCGCTCTTGTTTGGGAATTGTACTTTGGAGTGGTTTGCACAGGAGTTGACGGTATAAACGAAGGATCCACCGCTTGTGTCCTTAGTTCGGATAAAAATTGGTCAAAATCAAAATCGTGGCTGGCAAAAGGGTTTCTTTCTTCATAGCTTGAATCGCGGAAAAAACTGTCAGGAGGGTCTGGAAACATTGGTTTAAACCCATCTTCCGTAATCGGGCTACTTGTGACTTCTGCTGATTGTTGTTTTTCTTTATTTTGTTTGTTTTCTTCTTCTCTACTTTGTTCTTCGCTGTTGCTATCGTCATCTTCATCATCGTATTCTTCGTCATCTTCTTCTTCGTCATCTTCTTCTTCTTCCTCTTCCTCCTCCTCCTCTTCTTCCTTGTTGATTGGCTGCCTGTTGTTTTTATTCGAATTCTCTTGTAAATTCGGTACAGTTTTAGCCGTAGTGCGAACGGTCGTCGTTTGATACGTCGGCTGTTGGGGAAGGTGTGGCCTGTATTGCATCTGTTGTAAAGTCGGCTTGGAATATTGAACCCTAGGCGTCGTGTAAACCTGCTGGTAAGTCGCAGGTGAGGAATGAGGATTGTTAGGTACGATTCTGGCATCGGCCACTTCGAATTTATACTCAACGGGGGGTGGACGAGGATAAGGATGGTTAGGTATGATCAGCGTCGGCGGATGATGCGGTCTTCTGTGGTATGTCTGTCTGACGGTGTGCGTGTTTTGTGGTTGTTGGTGGGTATGAGGACGTCTGGAATTGAGGATTCTGGGTTGGTAACTACTCCAGGAAATAGGACGGCCGTCGAACGTTTCCCTTCCCATATCTTGAGGGCTACAAATGTCAAAAATCCATTATGATCCGAGTTTTAAAGTTCAAAATGGGGCTTTGTATTTACAAAGGATTGTATACAAATTTTAAACTATATCCCAACTATTTAGCAATCAAAAAGTACAATGAACTTTTATAGTACAATGAAATTTTAAACAAAACAAATACATCTTTTGGTTAGTACTTTATGTACAAGATTGAATATATATTTTTTTGTATGTACATATAATATCAAAAGTTCAACTAAATTTTCAGTGCTGATTTAAAGAGATATTTTTAAAAACAAACTAAAAAACAAATCGTGCCAACAAAGTATTTACAGTGAAAAACAAATATTAAAAAAAATATGGGAATTTAAGGGAAACATTATTTTGAACTTTTTCATTTTTCTTTTCGGAAATTCGTCAAGTACCTCCTTAGTATAGAGTGTCGTTTCATTCTCGATCTCGTTGGATTTGTCACAAAATTGTGGTCGGATTTGTCCATTGTAACTTGCCCATCTGGAGTCAGTCGTTTTGATCTGGCTCAGTCGAAAAATATAATTATGACATGCTTACTTTTTCCTTGTTTAAAAATCAAAGTCAAAAAATGTGTCTACTACAAACTCGTGCAGTTCGACTAAATACTTTATTCGTTCTCTGGCCACCTTTTCAAACTTACCTTGTGTATTGCTGCTGCGTTCCGTAAGACACAACCGACAGTTTATCTCTTCCGCCGGAAGGGATCTGAAACGGCTTGCGTTAATTTCCACAAAGCAGTATATAATTCAAACATTTCAAGATAGTATTTAGAAGTTTAGAATAACTCAAGAATAAAAGAACATTTTCTTTTCGAGTTTTAATAGTATTTTCATTTTTTATAGGTACCGGTATGGCGTTTGAATGGGTTGAAAGAGCATCTCGGTCACTAGCAACTTGGCCGATTGTAGATGGCTGGCCACGGTAAACTCTCTGTTGCCTGTCAGATTCTAGCTCTTCAGCTAGCCCTAGTTGTTCCTCTTCGGTGTACAAGTCATGCTAAAAAGAAGAAATTAAATTTGTAGAATAAATTTATTGACGATTCATCAGACACAAACCTTAGGAATCGTCCTTTGGCTCTGTTGAACCCTATGGCTCTGCCTCGGTCTGCTCTCAGGCTGCACTTGCTGCTGAACCTGGCTTGCAGAGCCCGGAGCGCAACCTACATTCCTGGGCCAGTCGCAGGTCTGAAGTTCGTGACTGTTAAGAGGAGTACAATTAGAAAATGGTGTTCGTTGGTCTCGGGGCATTTATGAGTCGTACCTGTACATGAGACCACCTGTACACGACTCGAGGAGTGCTCCACCGAAGACGCACACGTAGTACTGCGTGCAGTCTGTGGGATGTGCATAGTAACCGAATTCTTCTGGACAATCGAAGTCGATCGGTTGGGAAGAAGGCGTGGGCGTGGGCGATCTCCTCCTGTTTGAGCTACCGCTCTCGCTCCCTGAAAAAATTAGATGGATAAGAATAATATAGTACATAAACAATCCAAATTGACCCAAATCATAAGGATCTGACAAACTTTAGCCATTATTTGCGTATGGTCTGAGGTTTTGACCATATCTGATTAAAAAATCGTGTTTTTCAGTTTGTTTATAATCCGTTTGTTTTTTTGCAAGTTGTCGACTTTAAGCTAGACTAAGCAACTAGACAAAACTCCTTCAGGTCATTCTTCCCAACTTATCAATTTTACACAACTTAACTTCTTTATACGAATTGTGATATAGTTTAATATTTAATCAGATTCAAGACCAGAAGGAAAGATCAGCTCGAAAATAGAATATTCAAAAGCGATCGATTTTTTGACCTTGATGGCAGGAATATTTTCCAAGGGCGCGGTGGCAAAAACCGGTGGCTAGAACGGGTTGCACGTCCCGAACTTTGACCGATGCCGTTCGAAGCCCTCCGTACCGATTATGCTAATTCGCCTATAAAAAAACACGCCAAAGGCGGAGAATTCAGCACATTGAGGATAGATAATACGAAGCCATTAAAATGCTCTCCCCTTAAATATAGAAGTTCGTCGTTTTGCATGTTTGGGTTCTTTTGAGGTTCCACGCAGTTGGTTCCCACCATCCAGCCAGTCTGATCTTTGAAAAAATGTCAAGCATTATTTCAAATCTAGGATTTTTATATTATGTATTATACTACGTTTTAGTAATACCACTTTGCATAATATTATCGTACATTCAACTTTTATAGTCCTCGATCATCCTGATGCCCCTATTCTCAGCAAACTTGAGAATAAACGAAGGAAGATTGCGATAGATATTTCAAAACAGCGGGAATAGGTAGAGGAGGATAATACAATAAAAGAGATCAAACTTCATTCGTAAATTCGATTAAATGAAATTCTACTGAGCCAAATGTAAAATTTTGAATAGGCTTTTAATCGTAATAGTTAAAGCATATATTTTTATTATCCTATGAAATTTATTATTCCATGAACTACTGCTTCTTATTAAAAGAAACCGTTATTTGTAAAAAGGAACATTATAGTTGGGACAACAATAAGTATACAAAGAACATGGAACTTGTGAGGAAAAAACACCAAAATAATTCCTATTACTAGTGTGGTATTATAACAATTAATAAAAGGAAAAATAACAAAAAGATAATACGAACATTAAATGATTTACGTATTATAATACAGAAGGTAATAAGGAACATCTAGCCATACAAGTAATGAAATTTGAAATGAATTTTTATGTGGAAATGTTTTTTTTTGAAAATTCAACGAACATTGGATGAATGAGCAGAGCAACATAACAGCCTAAACAGCTAAAATGAACACAGCGAGAACAGGCGGACTAGAAGTGATTTACTTTTACCGATGTTATAAACATATTGGATAACCACTGTTGGTTTGAAATGTCAATATGCTTCGCTTCTATGATGATGCTAAAGTTTACTGTTAATCCTTAGAGAAGAACCATCTGACGATTTAGTTTTTATAGACACGATAGCTCAAGCTAGCAAGTTTATAAGTATTTTTAAAGTGAAGTGACGATAGCTCAAGTGGTTAGAGGAGCGGCGTATTCAGCCGAAGGTCATGGGTTCGAATCCCGCTCGACACAATCTTTTTCATTTTAGCCAAGGCTTTAGATAAAAAGTATAATTAATTAAAATAATTAATATGGTCAATTATGTCCACTAAATACATATGTGGATTAATATAATATTTTTAAAGATAATACTTCCTTATTTACGACAGGTGAAATCCATTAATTTATTTCTGAAGGGACCCGATTTTTCTCTTCAGTACATTTAATCTTTTGCGCCCTTTTGTTTAAATTCAATTGCTGAGCATCCTTTTATTTATATAAATTTAACGACAAACTAGCACAATGAATGAAATTTCCGAATACTCATGGATCACTGGTTCTAAAAATACAAAGTCACCCGGATCTCGTTGAAATCTGATACCCTTGCACTTCACGCGCTTTTTACCCTTTAGAAAAATGATATAATTTACAGTATATCAATCTTTGTGTTCGTGTCCGGAGTAGACGTATTGATCATGTTACACCGGTTCAAAAATGCGCGTCCTTGCCACACCTTCTCGTCCTTGCCTCCCGGGTTTCCGCCAGTCACGTATCCTGGTTCTGGAGTGTTAAATTTGGCCTTTCCTTCGCAATCTGATCAACAGTTAATTCAATAACTAGATCGGAGTGTTTTAACGTACCGATGACGGTACAGAAACGCCTCCGAGGCGGTTTCGTTTTAAGTAAGATTATCTTCTGAGCTGTAATCATCTGTGCCGTTCTGGGCGAGATGGGCTTTCGTGCCTCCGAGCCGTTTTTGTTTCTCTATTTTCAAAAAAGAATCGGGCCTTTTATTTTATAAAATTATCAAGGTTTCTAATTGGCCATATTGCCTAATAGACACTTAATATTTCGTTTTGGAACGTAAACCAGATTGAGATACAACCCTGGAAGTTCTCAGGGCTATCTTGGTCTTTCATCATAAAAATTCACTTCATAACCAATAAATAGGGGATATAAAGTTCCTTTTAAAAAAAGGATATACTTTCGAATTTGAATTCATGTGGAATAATACATTAAGCGGTTCTTGCCTAGTTTTTCCCCTTTTCACAAATACTGAACAACCAAAGGAGGAATTAATGTTAAAAACTTATAGGTAAAAAGCATAAGTGCATTAGAACAGGCACACCTTAACACAAGAAGCGTATTCAGTAAGTTACTTTGGCCTCGAAAGTTATCATTTTAACCTCAAAACACGGCATTCGGCGAGGATTGCGTTTGAATGAAATTCGGTCTTCCAGCTTTGTAACGTTGCTGTCGTTGCTTACGGTGTCATCGAGCCGTGGGAAGACGTCGCCGGGAGAGCAGCACGACTCGTTATGCAACGGACAAAAGCACAATTAGGAACATCAAGTTTCAAAACGGTCATAAAGGCATTTCCTCCTCGTGGACGGCCTGGTGCGGATGGAAGAAGATTTATCACGACAGCCAAGACCTCGGAGATCTTCCAGATCCGACACGGTAATATTTGCGCAACCTAGTCCTTTCCTCGATTCTATTTGTACGGGAAAACAATGACAATGAACCTCGTCTGACCTGGTGCTGAAATAGGTCAGAACCAACTAAGTGCTTCAAGAACTGATCCATACAAAAAATGGACCAAAATCTACAAATCACAAGCTTTGTCAAGCAAACACCGAGATTCAACTGTCATATTATGTGTGTATGTGGCCATCTGGGAATGAGTTTTTTTGGTTGGAAACTATTCCAGAAATAGGATGGCCTTCAAACGTTTCCATCCCCATAACTCGATGGCTACAAATGTCAAAAATTCTTTATGAGCGGAAGCGAGAACAAGCGGACCAAGATTTTCAAATCACAGGCACTGCAAAACACCGAAATCCAATTATGCGGTTTTTTTTAAGTATGAGATCGTCTGGGATTGAGAATTCTGAATGGTAACCACTCCAGGAAATATGATGCTTTCATGCTGCTGATGATGCTCTCGAACGTATGCATTCCTATATTTTTAAGGCTACAAATGTCAAAAATCCATTATGAGCGGAAGCGAGAACAATCGGACCAAAGAACTTCAAATCACAAGCACTGCAAAGCTAGAAAGAAGCTATTAAAAGCTAGCTAGAAAATTGAACTATTAAAAGTTATGACTGTATGAATCGTAAAAATTAAAAATCCCTAATTGTCAAACCCCTATTACATAATGTCAAATCTTGCAAATATTATTTAAGCTTAACTAATTTTTTTAAAATTATGTGAACATGTTAATTCTGTGTAATTTATTAAAGAATGTTATGTAGTTCAAATGGATTTATAGTTAGCAGTTATTACACGAATGGCAAATATGAAAAATAGCCAATTGTGCAACGTGTAGCCCTCATAAGTTAGGGCTTTATTAGCATTACCATTCTATAACAAGTTCTTAAGTGCCCTATATACTACCTAATCCATTAATCCTTTCTGCAGTGTAGAAATTGATTGAACCAAATGAATTTTAAATGGCGCATTTAATTTTTTTTACGTAAGTTGCAATTATTGCAAAATTGACATATTTGAAATTGGGCAATTCTGAACCTGAAAAACATGTAACATTCTCAGTCGCCTACTGTTTTTAAACCTGTTGAATAAATCTATATTATAAATGTAAGTTTTTTAATGAAAACAGATTTACCGGGTATTTTTCTGTGTACATTTTTGATTCGGGCACGTTTCGGGAAATCGGAGAAGAGTTAAACCGAAGAAAAATGCTTACCATTAGGTGAAAATAGGGAAGTGGAAAATGCCACTTTTCATAAACGATTCTGACAACCGGTAAATTTGTGCTCGCGCGCACGTTCAACAAGAGGCTACGACGAGAAAATGACCAATTTGGTTATTTACCTTCGTCTCATAAGTAGACCATTTTGTCCATCATTTCTGGCACTATTGTCAATTTCGTCGATGATTTCAATTCAACAAACCTTTTTGTTGGTAAAAGTTGAATCTGTCTGTTTAAAATTCATTCTTGAACAATCGGGACAACAAGAAAAAAAAGGAAGCAAACTGAATTTGCCTTTTCTTTTTTCTTCAAGACCATATCTTTTTCCAGTGTTCGTAACAGAACACGTAACAGTCAATTGTTCAATGGTTTCTAATTAAAATTATTTTGAAGAGATTTAACAAGATCTGCATGATTTATGATCCATTTTAACTGTCAAGGTTGAAAAACAATACAAAATTAAGAAATTGCATATAACAAAAATGCAGAATTCATGTAAAATTTGTTTACTTTTGTGAAATAAAGTTCTTCCTTCTTGTTAACCAATCAACAGAATTATACTGTTAGTCAATGGGTCAATAGTTGGACCTATACATTTAATTATATGTATTATTCTATGTAAGGTTTTGGTTGAGATAAAAAAAGTCAGCGTCACGGGCGGGATTCGAACCCACGATCTTTGCC